GAGTTAAGAAAGAAAGAAAGAAAACAGACAACCCAAGGGAGGGATGGGAGGACGGCACGCCGCCACCACACAGGGATTTTAAGGAGAGGTGTGTGGTGCGCTATCCGTCGCCCACCCTAGGGAGTCTGCCTCTTCCTATCTCTCTTCGCAGTCTCTCGCCGATTCTCGCTGCAACCTTCATGCCACCTCGCGGTCGTCCCACCCTCGTCGTTCTCTCCCTTGTCACTTCCTCCTCTGTCGCGTCGTTCTCTTCTGCCTCGTCCTGCGACGCCGCCGCCTGCCGGTCCCTTGTTCTCGCGGCTTCTTTCGCCTTTCGGCGCAACTCCGTCCTCCTCGCGGCGTATCCTGGCCCCTCGAGTCTATCGAGCTCCCCTCGCGCAAGGACCACATTTCTGACTCCCACTCCGATCATTTGCCTCCAGGTCATGTTGTTGCTCAGGTCCACTCTCTCTTCGAACACTCGTGCCTCTACGGATGATGCCGGCGCTGGGGTCCCCTTCGGATGCATCGTGACATCTGACAACTGAATTTCCACTGGTTCGTCCTCCTCGGAGTCATCTTCCCCGTCCTCCTTCCGCTCGGCTCTTCGCTCGGTACGTTCGGTGTGGCTCACCCTCCATGCCGTGAACAGGCGCTTTATCCACCCTATATTCTTCTCTCGTTCCTCTGCCCGTGCCTTGGTCTTGTCGTTGTTTCGCACCCATGTCTGTATGGCAATCGAGGCTGCCTTCCCCACTACCTGTAGTTCACTCGTCACCTCTCCCGCGAGCTCCCTTCTCTTTCTTTCGGGTATGGAGTCCGTGAGTGCGGGTAACGAGCCGGAGTTCGGGGCTTCGGGCATGGCACTTCGCATTCTTTCCTTCTTACCCCGAATTGACCCTTTTCTGACTCGCCAAAGAAATCTGACTGTGACGCCGAATTTGTAACAAGCGCTGCGCCGGCGCCGCGCCACAGCTTGCCGAGCGCCGGCCACAGGCCTGCCTGCAGCCCAGCCACACCCGCCGCGGCGGCAGCTAGTCGGTTCGGCCTTGACTCGCGCGCGCCGAGATGGGAGCCCAAGTATGTGAGCGCGCGGCGCGTCGACACGCCTCCGCTTTTGTAACAAAGTCTGCTTGGCTTGTGCAGGTGATGCCCAGAGCTGCAGCGGCGACGCCGGCAGCCTCGTCTCGACCTCAGAGGCTGCCGGCGTGACCATAGATCTGTGCTCTATCCGTCGGTGGTTCACCGTACACGCCTGTGTAGGAGCGGCTCTCGCGTCGCTACGCGCCGCCGAAGGCTGTCTATGAGGGCACACCCGAGGAGGCGCGGATCTCAACCTGCGTGCGGCGGTGACCAGGTCACAGGCATCGGCTGTGACACTGGAGAGTCGAGCAGCGGCACTGAGGATGCCTTTCAGGTCATTCCAGCGACCCACGGAGCACGGTCTCAGTGCGCAAGCACTCTACTAGATCCCATCCTTGCCGGGCCTCTGCGAATGTAGGTACCGAGTTCATGCGTGCCCAGTTACAGGCTCATACTGCCTGGTCTCCAGCACCTATGATCACCGCGCCAGGCCGCAGTCGACGACTTTTGTGTGCGCTGGCCGCACTCAACCGTTGAGTCGCGGTGTATCAGCCTGACCACACTCGGGACCGCGTAGGCGATGTGGGCGACTCTGGCCGTCCTACATATGACCGACCATGACCCAGGAGGAGTCTACACGAGACATGTCGTACCTGGCAGGCGCTCTCGCGGCAGCACTATCGCGTGCGGCCGAGTGCGAGCTTCCGTGCCCGGTGCCAGACGCACTCGGCGCCAGACGTCCTCGGGAGCTCGCAGTTTTGCCACGGCAGTTGCGATCCGGGCGATCAGAGAGCGCCGGCAGCTCAGGGGATCTTGTCTGCTCACCTGAGGTCGGGAGGGTAGCAGCGGCGAGGCCATGCGCCAGCGTGAGCCATCCGTATTAACGGTTGTTACAGATTAGTCAGATTTGCCGTGACCGCGTTCCGAGGTCACGATTTCGGCGTTCTCGTGTTGACCACTGTGGGTGTGCCTGGCACTTCTGGATCATGTCTCTCGGTGTCCTAGCACCCCCAGGCGATGGGTTTCACGGCCCCGTACCGCATGGGGCGCATGGCCTCGCGCTGTGCGTGTGGTTCAAACTTTGTTACAACCCAGTCAGAAAAGGGTCAATTAGGGGTACCGCCTCCAGCTTGCAAGCGGCGGGGCGCGCGAACTGGGCGCGCGAACTGGACTTGCCACCCAGAGCTTCAAAAACCAACTCACGGCTCCTCCGCGCCACGCACGTACCTCACCATGCAAGCATCTGATCGCCTTGCGGCGAGTGTGGCGGAGATGCGCGCCATCATAGGCAGTGACGTCCCCACGAGCACGTGCAGAGCCTATCTGCAGGAGAGCAAGGGCGACGTGGCGCTCGCCATCAACAGGTGGCTCGACAGAAGGACGACAGCACCGGCGCCGCCGCCCGCCAATCCCTTCTCGATGGCGCGCCAGTCCTCCAGCGGCGGCTCGGCGGCCCACGAGCCGCGCGTCCCTCCACCTGCAGCCAGCCGCCCGCCGGCTCCAGGGACGGCCGCCGCAGGTGGAGGGACGGCCGGCGCAGGCCCTTCGCGCGCGCCCGTGTGGCCGCGACGGCTCGGCGTCTTCCCCGCCTGGTTCTTGTGTCTCACCAAGCTGAGGCACGGGGAGCTGCACGAGGGCCAGGTCCTGCAGATCAAGCGCCCGCAGCAGCAGCCCGCCAGCGCGAAGGAGCCAAAGGGCAAGCGCGGCGGCGGCGGCGGCGGGCGCGGCGGCGGCGGCGGCGGGCGCAGCTCGCCATTCGCCTCGAAGAGCAAGCTGGACATCATAACCCGGCTGTGCACCGCGGCCGGCTCCGAGCTCGGCCGCCTGAGCGCCGAGCTCGCCGAGTGCGTCGCGCCCCTCCTCGACGACAAGAAGATAGCCCTCGAGGTGCGGTGCGGCGCCGTCGGCGGGCGCGACTTTTGCATCTCGGACCTGGTGCCGATCTCGCTCAGCGTCTCCGTCACCGCCGCCGCCTTCACCGCCGCCACTGCGGCCGCGGCCGCCAGCGACGCCGAGGCCGTCACCCCGGCCGCCGCCTCGCGCCGCCTCGCGCTGTCTCGCCTGGTGCAGCGGCTGGGGATGAGGCCGCTGCTCCCTCCTCTCGTCGGCGGCTCGAGCGGCGGAGCGGCCGGGGCAGCGGCCGGGGGGGCTGCCGGCGCCGCGCCTGCCGAGCCCGCCGCCGCCGCCGTCATCGACCTGGAGGAGGACGGTCCCGGCGCGGCAGGCGAGGGTGGAAGGGAGGGGAGGGGAGGGGCAGGAGAGGGTGGCCCCGCGAGCAGCGGCGCGAGCGGCGCTGCCGAGGGCGGCCTGCTGAGGGAGCTGATTGGCGAGCGCGCCTCGATGCGCCGCTTCGAGGTGTGCCAGCCGCGCGGCCTCTCGTGCACGCTGAGGCAGTACCAGAGAGAGGCGGCCCGCATGCTCGCCTCGCGAGAGGAGCCGAGAGGAGCCGAGAGCAGCCGAGAGCAGCCGAGAGGAGCCGAGAGTAGGCGCTCGGCTGGATGCTGTGGCGAGAGCTCACCGAGCAGGAACGCCGCACACGCGGCGAGCGTGGCGACGGCGGCGACAGTGGCGGCGACGGAGGCGGAGGTGGCAATGGCGGCGGCGGCGGCGGCGGCGGCGGCGGCGGCGGCGGCGGCGCCCACCGTTCGCTCCACCCGGCTTGGGCCAAGTACGCATTCAGCGGCGAGGGGGGCGAGGCCGCGGCCTTTTACGTCAACCCCACCTCCGGCGCTGTCTCGCTCAGCGAGCCTTCCAGCGCAGACGCGGCTCCGCGCGGGGGCATCCTCGCCGACGAGATGGGGCGCGAGATGAGCCGAGATGAGCCGAGATGAGCCGAGATGAGCCGAGATGAGCCGAGATGAGCCGAGCATCCTGCCGAAGCGATGGGGCGCGCCGCGCCGCGACCCGCCCCCCGTTGCGCCGTGAGAGGCTGGTGAGGCTGGAGGTGTCGGGACGGTAGGCTCGGCAAGACTGTCGAGATCCTCGCCCTCATCGTCGCCGACTTTGAGGGCGTCACGCCGTTTGAGGGCGTCACTCATCATGATGAGGGCGTCACGTCACTAGTCACGCCGCGCGGCGAGGGGACCGAGGCGGGGGCAGCAGCAGGGGAGGGGGAGGGGACCGAGGCCGTGGCGGAGGCAGCAGAGGCGGTGGCAGCGGCGGAGGCGGCGGCAGCGGCGGAGGCGGCGGAGGTGGCGGCAGCGGCAGAGGCGGCAGAGGTGGCGGCAGCGGAACAGGCGGCAGAGGTGGCGGCAGAGGCGGTGGCTGTGGCGGTAGAGGCGGAGGCGGCGCAGCGAGAGGAGGCGATGGCAGTCGAACCAACGGGAGGTGCATTGTTCGAGGGCGGCGGTGACGTCCCGCGGCCGAGGCCGGGCGCGGCCAAGGAGGAGCCCGCCGCCTCCCGCTCGGCGAGGGCGAGGGCGCTGCGCCAGACGCGGCGCTCCGTCGAGCAGCGGCCGCCCAGCCCGCGGCAGGAGGAGGAGGCCGCCGCCAACTCGGCTGGCGGGGAGAGGCGCCACCGCGGCCGGCCGCGGCGAGCGCTCGCGCGGGTCAACTACGGCGGCGCTGACAGCAGCGGCGGGGAGGGGAGCGGCGGCGAAGGGAGCGGCAGCTGGTCCGACTCCGACCCCGCGCAGGAGGCCGGGAGCGGGAGCGACGAGGGGAGCGATGACGATTTTGAGGACTCTGGGGAGGATTTTGAGGAGGAGGGCCGCGGCGGCCGCCGTCCAAAGCGGCAGCGACGCGGCGGCGGCGGTGCTGGGCGCTCTGCGAGAGGCGGGGCGGCGAGGAAGGCGACGGCAGCATCGCACCGGGTGATCTCGCTGAGCAGCGACAGCGGCAACGAGAGCGGCGGCGGCGGCGCGGGCAGCCCTGCGCCCGACCGGCGAAAGAGCCTGATGCGCGCGCACGGCGGCCGCCTCGTCGCCTCGTCGCCGGCCCGAGAGGCGGGCCGGAGCGGCCCGCGGCAGGCGCGACGCGGCGCGACGCTGGTCGTGTGCCCGATGTCGCTTCTCTCGCAGTGGCACGAGAACTTGCTCGCGCACGCGGGAGGCGCCCTCACCGCCACCGTGTACTACGGGCAGGGCCGCGACAAGTCGGGGGCGACGCTGCTCGACCACGACGTCGTGATCACCACCTACGGCACCCTGGCTTCGGAGCACTCCTCCTTCGCCGCGAGCGAGGCCGCCTCCGCCGAGAGCGCCGCCCAAGGCAAGCCGGGCCCCTTCTTTCGCGCCGTGCGAAAGCCGCCGCTGCTCGCGGCGCGCTGGCGGCGCGTCGTGCTCGACGAGGCGCACACGATCAAGGGGCGCGCGACGCAGCAGGCCAAGGCCGCTTTCGCCCTCGATTGCGAGTGCCGGTGGGCCGTCTCGGGCACGCCGGTCCAGAACGCCCTCGACGACCTCTTCTCGTTGCTCCACTTCCTGCGCCTCGCGCCGTTCGACGACTACGCCTACTGGCGGCAGAACGTGCTGCAGCCCATCGAGGAGAGGCAAGGCGCAGAAAAGGTGATCGCCGCTTCTGGCACGTCCCCGACGCCCTCCCTGACACGTCCCCGACACCCTCCCTGACACGTGCCTCGCTCGAGGTGGTCGCCGCCTTTGGTCTCCTCCGCGGCGCTCTCGACCCCCTCCTGCTGCGGCGCACGAAGAGCACGCGCGGCGCCGACGGGCAGCCAATCGTGGCGCTTCCCCCCCGAGCGACGTGCGCGGCGCACGGGAGCCCGTCCGCTCCGCCCTCGCGAGGCCTCTCACCCGCCGCGGCTTCGCACCGACAGGCACATCGAGTGGCTGCTCCTGTCGGAGGAGGAGAGGGACTTTTACGACGCGCTACGCACGCAGTCGCGCGTGCGCTTCGACGCCTTCGTCGCGGAAGGGCGCGTGCTCAACAACTACGCGACCGTGCTGCACATGCTGCTGCAGCTGCGGCAGGCGTGCGACCACCCGTACCTCGTGCTCGCGCGCTCGGGCGCCGACGCCGACATCTCGCGGCTCGGCGCGCGCTTGCTGCGGCAGTGGCAGAGCGAGCAGGGCGGCGACTCGCAGCCGTCCGCCGCCGCCTCGGCCCAGTTCCTCGAGCGGACGATGCGCGAGCTCGAGAGCGCCGGCGGCGGCCCCGCGAGCGACGCGCCGAGCGAGTGCGTCATCTGCCTCGACCAGTTCGACGACCCGGTGCTGACCCGCTGCTCGCACACCTTTTGCCGCGAGTGCCTTCTCGGCTGCCTCGGGCCGGCCGGGCGAGCGCCGTGCCCCGTCTGCCGCGAGCTGGTGGAGCGTGGCAGCCTGGTGACGGTCCCTGGCTCGCGCTTCGCCGTCGACCTCGACTCGCACTGGAAGGCGTCTGCCAAGCTGGAGGCGCTCATGGCGGACGTGCGCGAGACGCTCGCCACGCCCCTCCCGCCGCCCGCCGTGCCGGCGGTCGGCGCGGACGAGCCGCCCGACGACGTGGGCAAGCTGGTGATCGTGTCGCAGTGGACGTCGATGCTCGACCTCGTGCAGCGGCCCCTCGAGGCGGCGGAGCTCCGCTTCGAGCGGCTCGACGGCAAGCTCTCGCAGCCGGCGCGCGCGAGCGTGCTCAAGCGCTTCGCCGCGCGCGACGGGCCTCGCATCCTCCTCCTCTCGCTCCGCGCGGGCGGCGTCGGCCTCAACCTCGTGTCTGCGCAGACACTCTACCTGCTCGACCCTTGGTGGAACCCCGCCGTCGAGGAGCAGGCGGTCAACCGGATCCACCGCATCGGCCAGCGGTATCCGGTGCGCATCAAGCGCTTCCTCGTGCAGGACTCCGTCGAGGAGCGCATCCTCGAGCTGCAGAAGCGGAAGGCGGCGCTCGCGCGCGGCGCCCTCGGCGCGGCCGACGGGGAGGAGGGCCGGTTCAAGATGGGGGTGGAGGACTTCAAGTTCCTCTTCCACTAGCTAGGGGCGGCGCGACGGGTGCGGCGCCGTTAATCCTGAGCAGCGAGAGCGACCAGAACATGTGCTCCGCGCCGTGGACCGTGCTCGCTGGCGGCTGGGTACCTGGGACGAGCCCGCGCGAAGGCCGGAGGCCCGGAGCCGCGAGAGCTCGACGCACGCATGCGCTCTATCCCTCTATGTACGTATATGCTATATGTCTCACTGCCAGTGACTGCAGACGGACGTACTGCAGTGCAACGAGCAAGTCGTGGAGAGAGAGAGAGCGGGAGAAAGCGGGAGATACGACGGATACGGGCAGAAACCTGATACGACCACTCAAAACGATTACCGATAAACACAGTCAGAGACACACATGCGCGTCCGACCGGCGCGACAAGGCCAGGGAGCTCTCTTGATTGAAGCGCGACAACCGACCACAGATAGCCTCAGAGCGCTCCCCCGACAGAACATATGGGGCGGCGAGAGACCGCTGACGTATACATGCTGATGACACATGTGTGGCGCAATAAGAGACGGGACGATCTCGGACAATCTCCGATGATCTCGGACAATCTATCTCGGACAACAAGACATGGCCCGCAACCCCCATGAACTCAGCGTGCGGGCACGCTCCATTTCTGAGGCGAATTCGCGAGCGCCTCGCCGAGCGTCTTTGGCAACGGCGCCAGGAACGGCGACGCCTTGTCCGCCGCGCGCTCGACTAGCTCCGACCGCATCTCCGCCATGCTGTCGAGGCGGTCGTCGCTGCCCCAGAGCAGGGAGATGGACCTGCGCACCGTGTTGTAGCTCGGCTCGCGGTGCTCCGCAGCGAGGAAGCGCTCCTCCGCCATGATTGCCGGCGGCGCCGGCATCGGCGCGGCGGCCAGCTGATGCGATGCCACATGTGGCCTTGTGGCCGGAGGCAGCGGCAGGGCACGCGGCAGCTCCAGCGGCGCCGGCCTCTGCAGGATGTAGGAGGGAGATCCGCAGGCCGCCATCGACGAGCTCACAGCCGGGCACGGACCAGGTGACACTGCCGACGGGCCCATAGGCGAAGGGTTCAGGACCAGCGCCTCGAACGCGTGTCCGAGCCCTGGTGGCAGCAGCGGCGCCAGCGGCGACAGAGGCGGCCGGGCCTCACAAACCACGCATGCCGCGCGAGGCGATGACGGCGCGCTCAGAGGCAGCGAGCGTGGAGAAGACGGCGGTGAGCTCAGCTCGCTGAAGTTGGACGGGCTTCCCGACCGGGCGCCAGCCCGTTTGCGCCCTTTGCCTCCTCGGCGTTTACGAGGCTTGTCCCTCTTCTCCTCCTCGCCGTGCGCAAACTGGCACTTCTCCCGGTATGGACACGTGCCGGAGAGCGCGAAGTTTTTGCAGAGCACCGTTTTGTAGCGGATGGGATCCAGGATCTTGGGGGAGTTGAGCGAGGGGCTGGCCGTGCACGGCTTCATTGGCTTGGATTCCTCTCATTACCGAGATTTGGGGCTACGTGATGTTGACGGATTTCCAATCCAACCCCGGAGTGGCGTGCAGCAGGGGCTTGGGCAATCATCACGCGTAGGTGACCCCAGAACGCTAATCCTGGGCAGGTTTGGCTGGCGGAAGATAATAATTGGAAAAGGCGTGAAAGGTCTAGGAGTGGACGACGTCAAGCCAGCTCGTCGTTTGGTCACCGAGGAGTGGAGCAACTCGTAAAAGAGAGCGCACGCACATGCGCTGCCATACCCGCCCGCCCGCTGCTGCGCCTGTACAAAACACACCACCCGCGCAGTGCCGCGACACGGCCTCGGCCATTTGCGCAGTTGTCGACGTCTACTCATCCAACTGGGGCCCGTGCGACATGCTCGTTGGCCACTTCTCCAATCTCTACTTTGAGCTAAGCGAGAAGCTATCGTTTGGATTCGCGCGGGCGGCGGCGGACACGGTGCCCGTCCTCAAGGACCTGGCCGGCGCTGCTGCTCCCACCTTCCTCTTCTTCTTGGACGGCAAGGAGGTGGCTAGGATCGTCGGGCCACGAATGACTGAGATCAAAGCAAAGATCAACGAGCTCTCGCCCAAGCTCTGAGGCGCAGCGGTGTCGCCATCGAGCCGACCAGCTATCGTGTGTGCGTCGGTCATATGCCTTATGCGTGCGGAGAATTGGCGCTCGGGTCGGCACTCGGATGAGAGTGTTGTCGATGGGACGGGTGCGGGGTGGCACCATGGTGAGAGAGAGAGATTTTGGAAAACCAACAACCATGGTGTTCTTTGCGCTGTGCATCCCCAGGGCCTCCAGGGCTCGCACCTCAACCTCTCACAGACCAGCGCATAGCGCCATAGGAGGTATTTTCTTTTCATAACAAGGCTGTGCACACGAGCCCTGGTGCCCGCGCCCTGTGCCTCACGACACCTGCGAAATTGCCGCAAGCTACGGCTTCAGCGTGAAATTTTCGTCGCAGGACGAGGCAGAAGAGAACGACGCGACAGAGGAGGAAGTGACAAGGGAGAGACCGACGAGAGTGGGACGGCCGCGAGGTGGCATGAAGGTTGCAGCGAGAAGCGGCGAGAGACTGCGAAAAGAGATACGAAGAGGCAGACTCCCCAGGGTGGGCGACGGCTAGCGCACCACACTCCTCTCCTTAAAATCCCTGTGTGGTGGCGGCGTGCCGTTCTCCCATCCCTCCCTTGGGTTGTGTGTTTTCTTTCTTTCTTTCTTTCTGAAATTTTCGTTCGTTAAATAAATAAAACGCTAAACGGGCACGCCAAACGAGGGGTGGGAGAAGGACAGGGTCCCCACCTGCACGAGCAGGATCTTGTAAGGACGGTCAGGGACACAGGGAACGGGAGCGGGGAGCGCATCGCGATTTTCGTTCGTTGACAGTTTCGCCAAACGAGGCCCGTGAAGAGGCCACCCTCGCTTGAAGCGCCTCTCAGGGCCATGGTCTCTCGCTCGTCGGCCACCGCCGCTGACGCCACCCAGGTGCCACTGCCACCCCAACGACGCGCGCCCCCGCCCAACACACCCACCCGCCGGGCAGCGCGCCACCCGCAGCGCCGCCCCGACCCTCGCCTCTGGCTGCGCGCCCGCGCGGCGCCAGCGGGGCGGCCGGGCCCATCGCGGCTGGTATAGTTGGCCGGTCGTCGGAGTTGCGCCGATCCGACAGCACATCCCACCACGGTACCGACCGCGGCACCCCTGAACGCACCGGCGGCGTGCTCGCGCGCGCGCAGCCTGTCTCAGTGCACCGACGCTCGCCGAGCGCCCTCGCCACCGTGACTGTGACACCCTTTTGCGACGCGCAGGCTCGGCGCTCGCGGTACGAGAAGCCGTGTCTGCAGTGCGGCACGGCATACTCGTGTCCTGTGTGCCGTGCGTGTGCTCAGTGCGAGAGCTGCACCGCGACCGCCATGTGTGGGAGCTGCCGCGGCAAGCACAGTCGCGCCCGCGCTGCCTCCTCAGGCTCCAAAGGCTCGGTGCAGCGGGTCCGGTGTCGGGCTGCTGTTCCGGCTGAGCTGAGCGCCGCGGAAGCGTCAGGCTACGTGTCCCTACCTCGCAGCCGCGCGGGGCTGCACGCGTGCTTCGACCTGCTCGCTGCGTCCTCTCCCGCCCTCGAGTGCGCGCCGCCCAGGAGGCCTTCCTCCCGACCCTCCGGCCAGATCTCGCGCCCTCTCCCGCGTGCAGGCGGCGAGGGTCCCGTTGGCTGATCACGCGGTCCGACGCCAACGTGCGCGTGGAGGGGGTTCGTGTCAAGGACCAGTACGAGACGCCGGCGTGGATTTGGAGGCACTACGTCGACGCCGAGCGCTTGCAGATCGATGCTGAATGCTGTCTTGCCCGACTTCATTACGGCGGACGAGGATCTGGTCAAGTGCGCGCCCAGCTTGCGGCGGCGGCGGTTGTGGCTCAACCCGGCGTTCGGCGGCGGCAGCAGCGGCAGCATCGCGCGAGCGCTCGGCGTCCTGATCGCCGGGCCCGTTCGACAGAGCGGGCGCCAATGCGCGGGTCAGGTCATCCTGTCCGCGTGCTGATCGCCCGCCTTGCCGTGTGCAGGTGCACGCTCGTCGCGCTCCTCCCCGTGCTCCCGCAGTCGCCGTGGTTCCACGAGCACGTGCAGTGCGCGCACGAGATCCACTACCGCTGGACGAGGAACATCGACGCAGCATGACCCTCTGCTCGTCCGATGCACTGCAGCCGAGCACCTGGCAGCGCGACCGCGCTGCGGCAGCCGAAGCATTGCTCATTGGTCCTCGGCAATCGTCCGCGCCATTGGACTGCACTGGAGTAACGCACGCGCGAGCTGACCCGAGCTCCGGACATATCTTCGCGATCTCTCCGGTTGGTTTTTCTTTGAGCCCTCCTGCAGTAATCACCGTCCGTTCGACGACACCCTCCCATGAATACTTGGAGAGGCACTGACAAAGAGAGAGAGAGAGAGCATGTACGACAAAGAAAGGACACTGCACACACACATACACCACACACACACCACACTGCCAGTGCACACACACAGACCTGGACAACCACCGACATGGACATGCACACCGAGAAAAGCAGCGCAGCGCAAGTAACACAGACGCCCACGCGCTGCCGACGATGGCGAGCGCGCACACAATTGTGGCATCACCCAGCTCCGCACCGCGCGCCCGCGTCGGGCATCAGGTCGTGCGTCGCCTGTGGCGGAAAAAGGCCGGACCGAACCCTGTGCCGCAATCGGGTCGCTGCGATGGCAGGCACGTGCTGCCCGCCAGCCGGGCCTGGCGCGGGCCATGCTCGTGTCGTGCCGGCGCCGCACGCGTGCGGCGCCAAAGATGGCTTGAGACAGCGGCATGCCCTGCCGACAACTCAGCGACCGAGCGGGCTTGAGCGACCCGAGGAGCCGAGGCAGGCATACCCGAAGCCGTCTTCTGCTTGATCGGGTCACGCAAGTCGATCGGGTCGGCAGGTCAGGTCGCGCAGGTCGCACATCAGGGGCGCCCGTCGAAGCCAAAGCTGCGCTCAAGACACGCCCGCTGGCGCCTCGCCTGTGAGCCTTGGAGGCTGCGGCCTGGGCACGTCGTGCCGTTGCTCGGCGGCGTCGCGGTGCTCAGCCCATCGCCGCCACGAATGCCGTCGCCGCCGCGCACGTGTCGCCACCACCGCACTGCGATCGCTCACCAGATAGGGCACAACAGACGCCGACGCACCTGCGACCGCAAGTGCGACTTCAACGGTGGTATAGTTACGAGTGCTAAGGATCTGGCGCCGCAGGCTTGGACTGAGCGTGTAGTGAGGTATGAACGCGCGCTGAACGCGCGCGCGGGTCACTCAGCGCGCCCAAGGCGTCTGATCTGGGCCTCGGAAAACAGCCGCCCCGCTGGCGCCGCGCGGGCGCGCAGCCAGAGGCGAGGGTCGGGGCGGCGCTGCGGGTGGCGCGCTGCCCGGCGGGTGGGTGTGTTGGGCGGGGGCGCGCGTCGTTGGGGTGGCAGCGGCACCTGGGTGGCGTCAGCGGCGGTGGCCGACGAGCGAGAGACCATGGCCCTGAGAGGCGCTTCAAGCGAGGGTGGCCTCTTCACGGGCCTCGTTTGGCGAAACTGTTGAGGCGCTCCAGCAGTCTGCCTTTCTTTTCACGATGGCTGACGCGCCGACAGCGACGCTGCCGCTTGCCTCGCACCTCGCCGCGCTGCGCCAGAGTTTCAGGCGCGTGGAGCGGCTCGTGGAGCGGGTGAGCGCCGAGGCGGACGCACACGCTGCGGCGGCTGCGGCTGCTCGCGCTCGACTCGCGGCGTGCACCACAAACTACAGCACCTCCCGGCGCGAGGCGGATGCTGCACGCCGTGACGCAGCACTCGTGGAGGCGGTAACAGCTGCGCGGGCGCGGCTCGACGCGCCGACCGACGGGCGTGGTCCTCTCACTCCCATCTGCCTTGCGCTCGAGAGCCTGGAGCAAGTTGCGCCGCGCGTCTTGCTGACAGTCGGGTATGTCGACGGCGGCAGCGGCGGCGAAGGCGTCGGCAAGGGTAGCAGCAGTGGCGGCGGGCCGTCACAGCGGTCGTCGCCGCCCCTCGATGCGTTGCGCGAGGCTTGCGGCGCGCTGAGATCGCGGCTCGCCAGCGCGTGGTCCGCATGGCTCACCGGCCCGACCGGCGCCGCCATGCTCGAGTCCGCGCGTGCGCTCGTGCTCGCGCCGCCCGCTCACTTGTCGGCGGGTGTGGACGGGCTCGACGCGGAGCGCGCCACCGCCGCCGAGGCGGAGGAGCTCCTCGCCCTCGTGCGCCGCGCCGACGCTCTGCTTGTCGCCGGTGCTGCTGCTGCGCGGCGCGGCGAGGAGGAGGAGGGGCCTGCGGCGGGGAGGGAGGGGGCAGAGGCGGCGGTGGAGGCGGCCTGCAGCCGGGCGCGCTCGCACCTGCAGCACGGTCTGAGGGTGGCGTCGCGGCTGGCGGGGCAGGCGGCGAGGGAGGCGTCGGATGCAGACGCGGCGGCGGCGGCGCTGGCCGAGGCAGCTCACGCTGCGGGCAGCAGCATGCGCGCCGCAGAGTCGCTCTTCCGGTGCCTGCCGCTGACGGCGCACCGAGAGGGCGGCGCTGCTGCCGCGGCCGGCGAGACGGCAGATGGAGAGGGCGCGGCGGCGCTGCGGCCGCTGTGGGAGGCGGCCTCGGCGCTGCTGGTCCTGCTGCGAAGGGCCGAGGGCGCGGCGCGGCCCACTGAGCTGCGCGCCGCGGCAGAGGCGGCGGGGGAGGTGTACGAGGAGCTGCTGGGCAGCACAGAGGCGCTAGTTGCGGCGGCAGCGGGTGGAGGAAAGCTGAGCCGGCGGCTGCTCTCGAAGGCGAGCGAGGCGGTCGAGCAAGGCGAGGAGGCGGCGTCCCGAATTGCTGCTGGTGGTGAGGTCTGAGGAGTGACTTTTCGCAGCCAGGCACACAGAATCACAGATGCATCGTGTGCGTGATATTGGTGATAATATATAAAACCGACGGGCGTCTCGTCATGTGGCATCGGCGACACCGGCCGAGAGCAGCGGCTCCCGGTCCCGCAGTGTGAGCCTGCTCTCGTCGCCGCGCGACGGTAGCTCGGACGATGTCGACGATGCACCGGGCGAGGACGGTCGCGAGCGCGACAGCTTGCCGCTGCGCTCCTCGACTGCCTGGTAGCCCAAGCCCGCGCCGCCGCCGCGGCGAGCCTCTTCGCGTGCGACGGGGAGGAGCATCGCCGCGGAGAGAATGCACAGGCCAGCCAGCACCCAAAAGAGGCCGCCCCACCCCCACGCGCCGACGACGATGACGGCGACGGAGCCCTGCACGAGCGGGCCAAAGGCGCCGATGCCGTTGACGAGTGAGAAGGCTGTCGCCGAGACGTCGCCCTGCGTGTCCGGGTGGGCCGCCACGAGGTCGCTGACCGCCGCGCCGCAGAGAGACGTCTCTGGGCCGGCCAGCACGAAGCCAAACCCAGACGCAAACAGAGCTAGCAGCGTCGCACTACGGCCCGTGTAGCCGCCGCCGCCATCCGCGGCGGCGCCCAGCAGCTGCCGGCCGGCCCCGCGCTCGCCCTCGTCGCTGCACGTGCCGCCGAGTGCAGCAGCCGCGCCGGCGAGCAGGCAGAGAGGCAGAGAGAGGTGGACGCGCCTGTCAGGCGAGGGCGGGGCGGTCTCTTCGCGGCGGGTAGGACGCCGTGGCGCGAGGCGGCGGTCTCTTCGCCTGCCGCGCAGCGAGCGGTGGTCCGCCGCCATGCCCCACAGCCCGCCTCCGAGGGCGCCTCCCGCGTCGAAGGCGGTCGAGAGGAAGCCGGCCGCCGCGGGAGATAGGGCCTGCTCCTCGTGCAGGTAGAGGGGCAACCAGAGGAGCGCGACGTACCGCACGAGCTTGACGAGGCCGTATGCGCCGCCGAGCAGCAGCAGATGCGGGTGGGTGGCAGCGACCGTGAGCAGCCGCGGCGTCGCGTCGGGTGAGGCGGGACGCGCCGAGGGCTCACTGTGCCAGTCCCGCGCGGGCGCTGCGCTCTCCGGTAGCGCCAGGGCGACGAGGCCGGCCGCGACGCCGACCGCTAGTGCGGGTGCGCCAACTGCGGCGCGCCAACCGTGGCCGCACGACAGCAGCGCGGCGGCGACCGCCGAGCCGGCCACGCCGCCGATGCTCTGACACGTTGACCACCAGCCAAGGGCCGAGCCACGCTCGCTCGGGCCAAAGATCGGGCTGAGCGCCTTCATGCAGAGCGGAAAGGCTGCCGACTGTAACGCGCCATTCAGCAGCCACAGCCCAGCCAGCGGCATGGCACGTACCGGCACACACGCGAAGGCAAAGGCCGCCGCCGCCGTCGCGGCCATCAGCGTGCTCAGCATGCAGCGCACGCCAAGCCGGTCACCGTAGGGCCCGACGACGAGCTGTGCGCCCGCGTAAGCTGCCAAGAAGGCGGTGTCGATGTTTCCAACGTCGGTCCTGGAGAGGCCCTGGGACAGAAGCTCGGCCTTAACCACAGAGAAGGGCTTGCGACAAAGGTAGAGGCTGGCGTACGACACCCAAGTGGTAGCATACACGCGGCTCCGAAGGGAGGGCATGGGTGAGGAGCTCTCACGCACGAGCGCGAAACACTCGGACCCCGGAAGAATTCTTGGCGCCGACAAGAAAAAAAAACCCTGCCCTGCCGTGCCGTGCCCATGCCCAGACCGGAAACTCGAGCGAGCCCAAGCAGCGCCGGGACGCTCCTCTCCACCGTGATGCTCCTCGCCATCATCGTCACCACGACGTGGCTGCGGACGGGCGTCGCCCACGACATCGTGCGCCCGCTCTCCAACGTTGCCGAGATCCCTGCCTCGCCTGCCAGGAGCGGCGTCGAGCTCCTCGCTGGGCAGGTGCGCGGGTAGAGCTCTCCACCATACTCTGCCGCGATCCCGGCTGCTGCGAGCACGGCGCCGCCCGGTGCGCGCGACACATGACCCCTGTCGTTCCCGCGCGCACGCAGGTCGCCGAGGAGGACGGGTGGAGTGCCAATGCGCAAGCACGACAAATGTGCGCGCGTCCGCCGCCGCCATGCAGCCCCGCCCCTCCCCGCCGTCGATTTCGTCGCCGTCCGTGCGCGCGCCGCCGTTCACTCCGCCGCCGCCGTCGCCCCCACTTCCGCCGCCCCCGTTTTGCGCCTCGCCGCCGCCGCCGTTCTCCTTCTTCCCGCCGCCCGCGCTTCCCTCAGTCGCGCGCGCGCGCGGCTCGCCTGCGTCGCCGCCCCCCCTCTCGCCGCCGCTCCCCTCACAGCCTCGTACAAGGGTGCGGCCGTCGGCGCCACAGCCGTCGTTCGCTCAAACGGTGACCCTACCCCATCCCCCTCGGTACTCCCCCACCTTCTTCAGAACCAAATCCTCACCCCCCCCCCCCACTGCTCCCCGAATCAGGTGCCATCGCCTCGTTTCCGTCGGATGAATTATGTGGTTGTGGAATCGTACCCCTCGGTGGTTTCCAAACCTATTCAAAAATGGACGCTTACAGAAATCGGCAAAAATTCAACCGTCACAACAACATCATTGGACATTGCGAGAGACGAGGAGCGACTCTTGCTCAAAGTGCACAAAGGGTGGCGCGATTTCGGTTGAAATTCGCGTCACCACTCGCCGCCTCTCGCCGCCGATCGATGACGAAGAGGAAGACCGAACTTCGCCCCAACTGGAACTGCGAAACGATTGCGATTGGCGTTGGCCTCAAGGACTTGCCCCGTTGCTGAATCTCGATGCACACCTTTCGCTGCGAAATTGGGAGCTCAAACCAGGTCATGTTGCCCCATTGCGGCTTGTCCGAGCACACCTTTTGGTGCGGCATTGGGCGCTGGAAGGAAATCAAGTTCAGCTGATTTCAAACGCCACCCGATACTACTACTCAGCTTCGTCTTGGGCTAGCCATAGATACATGCTTCTTGATGAGCGCACGGAGTACTTTGAGTGGCTCTGCACCGTTCGATCACGATGCTTCCGATTGGCGATTGCCACCGGGCTTGGTCTCGGACCGCCCCGCCCGACCGCACCCGACACGACCCGTCCCGCCGCGCTTCAACCCCACCCGAGCTCCCACCCCACGCGCGACTGTCGCCCCCCCCCTCCCCCTCACTCCTTGTGCGGTTCCTCCGCCCCCCCCGCCCCCCCCAGGCCGGACCGCGGTCGCCGGGGACGCCGCCGCAGCCGCCGGCTTCTCGGCGGCAGTACGGCTGCAGGCTCTGCGGCTCAAAGGACCACAACCTCACCACGACGACGAAGGTGAGAGGTCGGTGACCTGCCCCTACCACGACGACTTCGAGGTCGTGATCGGCAAGACGGTCAAGGTCGAGTTCGTCAAATTGACGGAGAGTGAGAGGGCCGCAAAGCGGGCGGAGGAGGCGGCGAAGAAGGCGGAGGAGGCGGCGAAGGAGGAGGAGGAGGAACAGGAGGGAGAGCCGTGAGCTGCGCAGTGAGAAGAGCGGCGGCGTAGTAGCGGTCGAGAGAGTTGTGTTCTTCACACCGTGTCGGGAGGTGTCCGGCGACGAGGGGTCGCGACACACATCTCGCACGCGAGGTCGAACCATGTCCTCTTCTTCTATTTCTTCACTTTCCTGAACGCCTTGCCTATCATCATGGTTGCAACTAAAAAGACCTCCAAGCCCTGGGAGCCCTCCCCTTACTATTTCAGCATGGTGCCGGCGTGCCGTCCTCCCATCCCCTCGGATCGTCCCTTTCTTTCTTTCTTCTCTCAAACGACAATAGAAGAAACAGAATGTGCAAGCTTCGCGCCGCAGAGACAGCCGCCAAAACGCGTGTCCCTTGTCAGGAGCAGGAGAGCCCACCTGTGCCCCTGATCGTCCTTCCAAAATCCTGCTCGTGCAGCGGTGTGGACCACCCTGTCCTCCTCCCCTATCCCTCGTTTGGGTTGTCTGTTTTCTTTCTTACCACACACACACACACACACACACACACACACACACACACACACACACACACACACACACACACACACACACACACACACACACACACACACACACACACTCACACACACACACACACACACAGCGTCGCCAGCAGATAGACGCAATGCGACCGCGGGAACGTGTGTGCATGAGCGATCCCGACCGACGCAGTTCAAGAACCAATTGGAGTGTAAGAACGGCACGAGTGTCCTCGCAGCCTCAAGCAAAACCCCGTCGGACGTATGCGCGGGAGCGCGCGAGAGGTCGCCTCATCTTCACGTTCTGTGGGTCCTGGATGCTGGATTTCGCTACCACGAGCGTGTGTGCCACATGACACCCCACGGCGTCGGGGCTGGCGAGATCTCAGGCGAGGCGCAGCAGCTGCATGAGCTCCCGCTCCAGCGTGGCACAGCTGCTCCCCTCGCCCATCTCCCGGCCCGGCTGCTGAGCGGCCAGGTTCAGAATGTCCGCCATCGCGGTGGCGATGTGAGCGGCGTACGCGCGCGCCTCCTGCAGACGCTGCTCGGCCCGCGAGAGCTTGACGCCGTGCGGTGCGAGGCGGGCGCACACCTGTGTGAGAGCGCCGTCAAGCGCAGCGTTGATGGCAGAGGGGAGGTGCTTCGCCGGCATGATGCGCCTCCTCGATGCATCGGAAAAGTGAACGTTGGGGCTTCGCAGGTGGAGGCAGAGCCAGCCGCAGCGGACGGCGTCGTCGCCCTCTGAGCCCACTCGGAGCCTGCCATCCCCTGGCGACGTCAGCGATGAACCCAGGTGCTTCTTCCACCCGCGCGCGCGCTTGATCGCATCGAAGCACGCGCAGCCGGCGACGAACTGCTGCTGGTCGGCGAGGTCCAATCGCTTGTTGTTGAGAAGCACGAGCACGTGGAGCGGCGCGGTGGAGGAATCGGCGCCGGAGCGAGAGCGCGGCTGCTCTGCCGAGGGGGCTCGTGGCTCCACCGCGAGCTGGAGCGTCGCGTGCGCGAACCCAGAGCCGGACAGCACTCCGCGCCCAGCACCGTGTGCGGCAATCACTCTGAGTCCTTGGGACTCGGCGGCAGGCACAACCACGCAATCGCGGAGCTCGTCCTGGAGCGAGTGGAGCAGCTGCTCGACGCCTGGCAAAGATGGCGCTGGCCCCGCTTGCACGAACATGCGGCTCATCACCACCGGCTCGACATGGTGCCGCACAGTGTAGCTGCGCGCGCCCGCCTCGCCGTGCGATGTGGCTACGTCGAGCTCGATCGTGAGGGACGACGTAGTGCAGAGGGCCTGCGCAGAGTACGCGATGGCGTCTCGCAGCACGTCGATTGCCTTCCGGCCGCCGAGGAGAAGGGCCGAGACATGCGACCCGCTCCCGTCGTAGTCCTCCAGGAGCTGTGGCGGGGCGGTCACCGATGCCGGCTCGGCGGCGTCGGCGTGATGAGCCGCGCCCCACGTGCGCCGCCGCAGCTGTCCCCTCGCGACGCTCAGAATCTCGGCGAGCTCGTCTGGGCCAGGGTGGGACCCGCAGCCCCCGCCCCACCAGTACGTACTGACGGCCCAGCGGATCACCGTGGCCAGGCCAAGCCCAGCCAAAACGCCGCGGTCACCGATGGCGTCCAGCGCCGTGCCAAAGCCCGGGCCGTCATCGCTGACGCAGACCTGGTAAATATTCGTACCAGGCAGGCCCTGGACGCTGATCTTGATCGTGTGGTCTCTGCTGTCGTCAGCTTCGCACGCGGCAACAGCATTCTCCAGCAGCTCCAGGACGCTTCGGCAGAGCGCGCGGTCCGGGTCTGCGCCCGCGCCAAGCCCAGCCTGACCAAGGAGCGGTGGCGCGCGACAGTCGTCGTCGGACTGGGAGTCGTGCGGCCACGATGCGGTCGCCTGCGACGCCGTGGAGGCGGACATCGATCTGCCTCGAGATTTTTGGACTGCCAAAGCCCACGGAAACGCTGTGCTGTAAAAAAAATGGTTCATCTTTCGGTTTTTCTTCTGTTCGGGGAATCTGCCAGTTGATGTGTCTAACGTTATCTTGTTCGTTACAGCCGTGTCTGTGAAGTCACTCCCCATCCCCTCGGGGCCTCCGCACAACATATAAACCTCTCTCTCTCTCTCTCTCTCTCTCTCTCTCTCTCTCTCTCTCTCTCTCTCTCTCTCTCTCCCTCCCTCCCTCCCTCCCTCCCTCCCTCCCTCCCTCCCTCCCCCCCCCCCCCTCTCTCCAGCGCAGGGCAAACACCTCACCCTCTCAAAAGAAAGAAAAACTGTCGCACTTAGCTAACTTACCCCCAGGAGCCAGGACTGTGCCGTAGAGACCTATGCCCATGCCGTATCAAAGTCTGTGCAGGTGTGAAAGCAGCTCCTGGCCACAGCGCCGCAGGCGCCTGTTGATAGGTCCAGGTGATAGCCCTGGATAGGCAATGCATACGCCTAGTTGGGCCTCGAATCGCCCGACCTCGTCCCGGAGCGGTGCTCTGTGGTCGGATTTGTGACGCCGCCGCACCGCACCGCGGGTCCGCGGACCGGTGCGCCGGGGGCCCTCCGGAGGCCGAGGATGGCCGTGGCGGACCGGGACGAGCTCTGGGAGGTGAAGTGTCAGTGTATATATTGTAGAGGCCAATCATGTCCACAATATCTCTCAATCTAGCTAAGCCAGGGGAGGCGATGCCCTGAGCCCTGGCTGTCAGGCTGTCAGGTGCTGTCAGGTGATCTGTCGGGCTGTCGGGCACTGTCAGGCACTGTCAGGTGCCTCTGTCAGACCAGCTGTCAGGTGCTGTCAGTGCTGTCGGGTGCTGTCGGGTGCGTGTCTGACATCAGAGGGGATCTGTAGCTGTCGGGTGCTGTCGGAGCTGTCGGGTGTTGCTGTCAGACGCTGTCGGAGCTGTCAGAGCTGTCAGGCTGCTGCTGCTGTCAGACGTAGGGCCGGTGCTGTCAGGTGCTGTCAGGTGGTGCTGTCGGGGTGCTGTCAGGCTCTGACCTCTGACACACACCAGCCACACTTATGACACTATCAAGAGGAGACCAGCAGGACTCTGCTACACATACTCTAGTCTCTACTCTGCCCCGGTACCACCATCACGCCGGCAGCGGCGGCCGCCTGGGGAGCGCAGATGGCGGCGCAGGCGCAAGCGCAGGCGGCGGCACAGACGGCGGCGGCCACCCCCACCCAGACGCCGTATAGGCATATGACTGTAGGGCCCCAGAAGGCTAGCTGGTAGCTTCATTTGTAGTAGCACAGCCGAGGGTCCGCAGAGGTGGGGCGGGGGCGGGGTTGAGAGAGAGACCCATGACCATCCCATGACTACATGGACATGGACCACCCTCACATGTCTTTGCATGAATATAGTTTTGTTATACCCTCATGGGGCACAAGAAAGAGGCTGCACGGCCTGTGTACGGTCTGTGCTGCTCAGGTGCTGCTGTCGGGCTGGTCGGGCTGTCGGGCTGTCAGCGCTGCTGTCAGGCCACTGTGAGCTGTCGGGCTGTCGGGCAGCTGTCAGGCTGTCACGTTAGGGCCTGACAGCGACGGGTCGCCTCTGATGTCAGGCTGGCTGTCAGATACGTGCTGTCAGACTGTCAGAGAAAGTGCTGTCAGCGCTGTCAGGCTGTCGGGCACTGTCAGGCGCTGTCCGGGGTTTGCTGTCAGGCTGCCAGACCAGGGCTCAGGCGATGCCGGGGCCGTACAGCAGCTTGATGGTGCTTCGTTCGCCGGCGTGCGTCCCGGAGCGGTCTCGGACGGGCGGTCCGTGGGACAAATCGGGGGACAACGCCGATACCGCTCTGAAGTCTGATTCGACTTTTGACTTCAAACAAAGACAGTCGCACGCGCCGCAGCGCGGCGCGTGCCACTGTCAGGAGCGGATCCATCAGTTAGTTGTGTTCACGCCGGCGTCGTGTCCCCGACAACCTGCACAGACTTTACGCCGCGACAGTAGAATTTCTTCTCTCACTCGCGCCCAGCTGAGACAGAAGACCTTGCGTCTGGTTGAAGAAGGGGCCGTGGCGGCCCGTGCAGCGCCTAGTCAACAGCTCATCAGAGAGGTGTGAACAGCGTCTGAATTCGGACGCCTGTGATACCCTTCACCCACCACTACACACGGTGTCTAGCTGGTCCTTTACAGTCCTTTGAGCCACAGCCACCCTCCGGATCTGAGCCTCCGCGCTCAAACGAACAGAGTTAACAGAGACGCAAGACAGTTAGTGCTGAGACAGGGAGGCGAACCCACCGTCTCGTGCAGCGAGCGGCTTCGGAGCGTCGCCGTGACTCAAATGGGCTACAAGCAGAGCGTGCGGGCTGCAGATTCCAGATAGCCCGACCACACACAAAGGCACACACCCGAACACGTTTCGCGCGCAAGCCGCGAGCGCTAGTTCGACGACAGGGCTTTGCGTGTGCCGATGTGTGTACTATTCTGCGCCAGTCCACGCCCTTGTCGTGCCAGGTGCTGTGAGAGAGGCTTAGTTAAGCAGAACTCTTTTGTTACAGCCGCCGCCCGCACCTTGCCTGTCGCGTGAAAGAAAGAAAGAAAACAGACAACCCAAGGGAGGGATGGGAGGACGGCACGCCGCCACCACACAGGGATTTTAAGGAGAGGAGTGTGATGCGCTAGCCGTCGCCCACCCTAGGGAGTCTGCCTCTTCCTATCTCTTTTCGCAGTCTCTCGCCGATTCTCGCTGCAACCTTCATGCCACCTCGCGGCCGTCCCACTCTCGTCGTTCTCTCCCTTGTCACTTCCTCCTCTGTCGCGTCATTCTCTTCTGCCTCGTCCTGCGCCGCCGCCGCCTGCCGTTCCCTTGTTCTCTCGGCTTCTTTCGCCTTTCGGCGCAGCTCCGCCCTCCTTGCTGCATATCCTGGCCCCTCGAGTCTATCGAGCTCCCCTCGCGCAAGGACCACATTTCTGACTCCCACTCCGATCATTTGCCTGCAGGTCATGTTGTCGCGTGAATCGTGCTGTGCGAGATGCGAAAATTCTTTTGTTAGCGCCCGTCACATAGTAGAGGCAACGCTGTGGCCGTGACTACTGAAAGCCGGAATGCCTTCGCAGGTGGAGCACGTGCGTGCTGTTGCCAACGCGCTGGGCCGTGACTACGAGGCCGGCGTGGAGGCCGGCAGGAATGGCGCTCGTGGGCAGGTTCGCATCGCGGGCCCGCAGACTTTGCCTTCGGGCCTCGGCAACTGGATCCTCACATTCTTGACGGCTTGGCTCACAGCGGTGAGCTCGCAGCGGTGCTTCGTGATGGACCACCCAGTGCTGCTGCGGCTGTTTGCGCCGGGAGAATACTCGCTCTCGTGCGGGCGCGGTGCTAGTCAGCGTTGGAGCGCGTTGCGTGCGACGACCTTTAAGCAGGTGGGAGCGCAGCGGATGGCGGCGGCGTGCGCCCGACCGGGCAACGTGGCGGTGAGCTGGATGGCGCAGCCGTTCACAGAAATGCCAAAGTATGGGCAGCATGGGCTCGTGAAGGCACTCGAGAAGGCTGGAGCGACGAAAAACGAGACGGCAGATATGGCATTCATTAATGCCGTGGCTGCCCACTGGCTGCTGACGAAGCTGACCCCTGAGGCGGATGCAGCGCTCAATGATTACCTCGAGTACCTCACCGACGGCTGCGCGGGCCGAGGCATTGCCGCCGCGGTGCACCTGCGGACCGGCGACAAGTCCGAGCGCGCAAATCCCACGAGCATCAGGCATTGGCAAGGCTGTATGGCCGAGTGGACGGGCGGCGCCGCTGGCGGCGGTGGAGCTGGAGGAAGGGGATGTGAGACGTTGTTCGCGATGTCAGACAGTCCGCCGGCTATTGACGCCGTCTTGGACTCGATCCGATTGCGAATGCGTGGCAGCCGGTGGAATATCGTGCCGGAGCACACGGTCCGCGGCGTTCGCCCTGTGGACGTGCAGCACCGGACCCGACCGAACGTCACCCTCCCGTTGTGGTTCGGCCCGACCGGCTCGGTGCTCACGCCGGCGGAGTGGTCGGCGTTGCGTTGGCACTCTGGCATTTTGCTGAATCTCGCGCGGATCAACGCTAGCTATGTCGTGCACCACGCCTCCGTGCTGGGATGGCTTGCGTTCAGCACCGCGCGAGAGCACCTGATGTTGGAGGGTGGCTCAACCTTCTCAACGTCCGCACACCTGCGAGGGATGGCACTGCCCGTCGAGGGGCACCGCCCGCAGGTGGACACCATAGGTAGCACTGTGCCGCTTCTCTCGTGCCGGAGATCGGCCGCACAGGACAGGTCGTTCTGGAAGTACTCCGAGTAGATCGACCAAGGGCAGGAGATTGGAAGCCAAATTCGCGGATTCAAGTTGTTCTTCCTGCGAAAAGAATTCTTAAAATACAAGCCTCTCTCACAGCACACTGGCACGACAAGGGCGCGGACTGGCGCGGACTGGCTTACACGCACCTCCGGCTCTCACACAAGGGCTCCTGAGGGAGGGTGTATAGAGGATGTAGAGTGTAGAGCGCTGTAGAGCTGTAGAGATGTAGAGCGCTGTAGAGCGCTGTAGAGCGCTGTAGAGCGCTGTAGAGCTGTAGAGCTCGTCTACATCCGCCGCGTGACGAACTGCGTGCGTTGTAGAGCGATGTAGAGGCGCTCTACAACGTGAAATCTCTACAACGAACTCTACATGATAAGCGGCGAACGAGGCACGGTCGCTCTCCGACATGAGGCGCGTTGCACTTGCCAGTGCTGCCCTGGCCTTCTGTCTGCCCGCCCAATGGGTGGCAGGTGCCTCTGCTGCTGTGGCATGCCTCACGGCTGCGACTGGCCGGCGCCTCGGCGCGTCAGCTCGGCTCGGCGTAGCGATAGTGGCCAGCGCAACTCGCCTGGACTCAACGCTCAGCCAGAAGCTCCCGCACGCGCTGGCGCGAGTCATGGCGCATGCAACGCGCCTGAATGCTCGCCTCGCCTCGCGCAAATGCGACCATCCTCGCAGCCGACAGTCCACCGCCTGCTAAAGAAGCACAGCGACGAATGCGGCACCGGCGACGCATGGCAGACTGGTCATGACGCAGTTGCAGGGTGTTGTGTGTCGTCAGAGTGACTCTCTGTGTGTCAGGGATAGTCAGGGCCGTCCATCAGAGCTCCAGTAAGCTCGGAGACACCCCATTAGCGCGGCTCGACCTCTTTGAGTCACTGCCTTCCCGGCGGTTTGGTTGGCTGTAGAGCCTCTACAACAAACTCTACAGCAAAATCGCGCGCTCTACATCGCTCTACAACGCACGCAGTTCGTCACGCGCCGGATGTAGAGCTCTACAGCTCTACAGCGCTCCACCAGCGCTCTACATCTCTACAGCTCTGCAGCGCTCTACACTCTACATCTCTACAGCTCCGCAGCCGAGTATGCGGCGATTGGCAAAGAGTACGCGGCGGCAGGCGCACAGAAGGCAAAGGAGCTGGCGGGCAAGGTGCTGGCCAAGGACGAAAGCGGTGGTTACCTTGTCGTCAACGAGGGTGCGTCAAACCCACAGCTGGCACACGCACGCACCACGCCTGAGGGCACACACGCTGCACGCTCCTCATCTCCTCCGTTTCCATCTCCCTCGGGGGGGGGGGGGGGGGGGCTCCATGCTCTTCCTCCGACGCCACGCGCGCCGACAGAAATGGACAGGCGAGCCGCATCTGGCGCGGCATCGGGCGTGCAGGTCCACTACGACTCACAGGCGCACAAGCACACGAACTTGCGCGACGCCCTCGCGGCCCGTCGGGCGGGCGTGCTCTTCACTTACAAGCGCTACGCGAACTCCGTCAAGCGGCAGCTCATCCAGTCCCACGCGCGGGACGCGCGGCTCCTGATCGACATTGGATGTGGCCGGGGCGGGGACATCGCCAAATGGCGTGATGCTCGCGTCCATGTGCGGCAACGCCGCCGCCCCCGCCCCCGCTGCCACCACCGCTTTCACAGAGCTGACGGAACCTCTGCCCGTCGCCACGCAGCACGTCGTCGCGATGGACCTCTCGGCCGCGCAGCTCGACGAGGCGCGCAGCCGCGAGACGGACGGCCGGGGCGGGGGTGGGCGGGCGCACACCGCCATCGCCTGGCGGCAGCTCAGCATGCTGGCGCCCGACTTCGCCGAAGAGCTCGAGCCGGAGGTGGCGCGCGGCGGCGGCGGCGGCGGTGCCGACGCCATCTCTGCCATGTTTTGCGTCCAGTTCGCCTTTGGCTCGGAGGCAGTCGCGTCTGCGCTGCTCCGGCAGGCGAGCACTGAGCTGGCTTGCACGCGTGTGTAGTGTGTACGCGTCGATCAGAAGGGAGCTGGTTTGGCAGGTGAGCTCGCTGCTGCGGCCGGGCGGCATCTTTTTCGGGACGGCGCCCGACGCAGATGCCGTGCTGACCGCCCTCGGCGGGTCCAGCTCGGTCACGCTGCAGGTGCGCTTATGCTCGCGTGGCTGCCGGGAGGGTGCGAGAGGGGCAGGAGGGCGCATGCGCTCGCGCCCGTCTCGCCTCCCTCGCCGCCGCCGCTGACGCGCCCTCCCCCTGCCCCCTCGGCTGTCGCGCCGGTCGACCCAGCCGCCGCAGGTGCCCTTCGTGCTGCGGCTCAGGCTGCTGGAGGAGGCGGCAGCCGGCCGCGGCGAGGGCGGCGAGGGGTTGGGCGAGTCCGACGAGTTTGGCCGCGCTCTCTTCTTCTCCCTCGAGGACACGGTCACGCAGGCGAGCCCGCACACCGCCTTGTGGCACAGGCACTTCCTAGACAGTTCCGAGACACTTCCTCCTCTTCCGCCAGGACTCGGACGGGCTGGGCGACGCGCACGAGTACCTCACCTCGCGGCGGCAGCTCGCGCGCCTCGCCGACAATCACGGGCTCGAGGCGCTGTCGCTCGAGAGCATGCTGCGACCGGCGGGCGGCGGCGGCGGCGGCGGCGGAAGGGGCGGCTTGCCGGAGCTGAGTGAGGCTGAGGCAAGGGTAGCGGGGCTCTACTTCACGTTCGCCTTTCGCAAGCGGGGGCCGCGACGCACGCGAGCGGTACTAAGACACCCCGTCCAGCCGCCCGCGCTTCTTTTGTAGGCGGGCCGTCCCGGACGCGTCCTCCCGGCGGCCGCCCAGGCGGGAGGAGAGGCGCGAGGAGGGGCGCGAGGAGGGGCGGGAGCGCGAGCGGGGGGAGGGAGGGCGGGAGGGACGCTTGTACGGCCACGTGGCATTCAGGGCAAGCGGGCGAGAGGGAGCGTGGCGCGGGAGGGGCGAGGTGCGCGGCGACGACGATGCGCGCGTGCCGAGGCGTCGCGACTGGACTCGTCACTCGCGTTCGCGCTCGCGCTCGCCGCCGCGCCGCTCGCCGCCGCGCGAGCGCGGTTGGCATCCGTCCGATTCGCGGCCAGCTTGGGAGCGTGACGGCCGCCCGCGCCATCGTCCGCCGTGGTCGCAGGACCGAAGATCGGATGACGGGCGACGCGGCCGGTGAACGTGCGTCTCACAGACCGTTCTGCGGCTGGGAATAAGGGTGGCCAGCCCCGCCCCCGACGACGAAAATGGTTGTGAAGTTGGGGTACGGCCAGCCACGAGTCCGACCCTCTCAGTGGGCCCGTCTGTAGGTGGGTCTGTACGTGGTACGGGGTGTCGCGCAAATATCCTGCGGTCCGCGCGCTTTTCGTGTTTTCGATCGCTTTCCTCCCCCTATGATGGCGCCATCGCACATCAGACGGCAATCGGCATTTGGCCCACATATAAGCATAACCGGGAACGGGATAACACCTCGCAATCCGTCACTTGCTATTACCTATTATTCTCGGTGTGTGATTTTAGTTTTTAGCGATTTGACATGCACATGTTCATGTGCATGCACATGCACATGTGCATGTGCTGCCTCGAGCTGCAAAACGAAAAGGACCAGCGGGGAAGCCCCCGCCCTAGCGCCTAGGGGCAGCGTCTCCGCGCCGACTACCTACTAGAGCCGACAGCCCGCTTCAGCCGTGCAGCGAAGATGCGAAGTGTGCAGCGGCTGCGGACCGACGCTCTCCGCTACGTAGCTATACTCCGTGCATCGTCATGCGGGGCCGAGACCAACGGCCTGATGGTATGCACGCACGTAGAACGGTCTGCTACAGCGCCGCGCATGAAACCTCACGCGCACCGCCCGGTACGCCATGCATGCACAGTGAATCAGACGCGAAAACCCCGCCCTCCCCGGGCTGTCACCCAAGCGGGACGGTGCACATCGTGGACTTGAAGCGCGACTTGTTGTCGTCCTCGCTCTTCGACAGCCGGACCGAGTAGGACACGTAGACGATCGTGTTTGCCTCCTTATCGTACACGCGCCGCACCTTCACGGACTTGAAAAAGAGCGACCTGGACTGGCTGAATACCTCCTCGCCCTCGCCATTCGGCTCCACCGCCTCGAGCAGCTTGACTGGCCCGGTCCGAGCACAGGTGACGCTGGCCTGCGTCAGTCAGTCAGTCAGTGTTACACACCTCCTAGCATGGAGGACGGGCCCACACGCTGCACGATTGGCCTGCGTCGGGTCGTTGAAAAAGTCCTTCTGCAGCTTCTCGGTGATTGGTCTCTGGAAATCGGCCACGTACAGCTTGACGCCGGAGACCTAACAGGGAGAGCCAGCCGACCCTGCAGGGGCTATGTCGTGAAGGTGTGCGATCGTGCCCGCGCCCACCTTCGGGTCAGTGAAGCCCTCAATCTTAATCGTGTCCTTGAACACGAGCCCAGATGCAGGGATGTCGGCCACATCCTGAGCAATCGCCTGTCTCGCTCCTCCACAGACGCTCACTGCGGCAAGCGCGCTGCGGAGAAAGGCGCCTCGGGTAGCACCGCGAGTGCTGCATGACGGAGCCTGCGGCAGCTGCACAGCTGTAGCACTGGAGAGCACTAGCAGGAGAAGCATGCTGCGGTGGGCGTTGTCGCAGTGGCTCGTCGAGCTCGGGAAAGAATTCTTCTCGGCCACAACACTGATAATTCCCTGATCGTCCTTACAAGATCCTGCTCGCGCAGGTGGGGACCCTGTCCTTTCTCCCACCCCTTGTTTGGTGTGTGCGTTTTATTTATTTATTTATTTACTGATTTTCCCATGCGGGCGTGAACACGACTGTGTCTTGTGAGCCTGCTTGTCTGTCTCTGTGTGTCGCTCGTGCGTGTCGTCATCATCTGTCTAGCGTCCACCCATACCGCGTTGGTGTCCAGTCCGAGTCTGGCTGTTCTTCACCTTTCTACCTACCTACTATGACTAACTGACGGATCCGCTCCTGACAGTCGCACGCGCCGCAGCGCGGCGCGTGCGACTGTCTTTGTTTGAAGTTAAAAGTCGAATCAGAGCGCCGACGGCGCTGATCCTCGTTTTCCTCCCACGGACCGCCCATCCGGGACCGCTCCGGGACGCACGCCGGCGAAGCACCATCAAGCTGCTGTACGGCCCCGGCATCGCCTTCCCAGGCTTAGCTCGACTAAGAGATATTGTGGACATGATTAGTCTCTACAATATATACACTGACACTGAACCTCCTAGTACCTAGAGCTCGTCCCGGTCCGTCACGGCCATCCTCGGCCTCTGGAGGGCCCCCGGCCGCGGCGCGCGGTGCGGCGGCGTCACAAATCCGACCACAGAGCACCGGGACGCGGTCGGGCGATCCGAGGCCCGACTAGGCGTATGCATTGCCTATCCAGGGCTATCACCTGTGGACCTATCAACAGGCGCCTGCGGCGCCGTGGTCAGGAGCTGCTGTTCACACTTGTGCACAGACTTTGATACGGCACAGTAGAAGTGGGGGTGTTCATTATAGCTCCGAGGCGGCGTGCCGTCCTCCCATCCCTCCCTTGTCTGTTTTCTTTCTTTCTTTGCTCCGAGTAGAGGGGGCGGTCTGCTGCTAGGGGAAACCCGGAGCGCGGAGCTAACCCTCGGAGACCGTGTTTGTTTACTTTACGGCCCTTTCCCTGCGAACGCGCACCCCCCAGCGCCCAGGGCTAGGGCTCTCTAGCCCGTAACCCGATCCCGATCATCCGGCCCGCTGGGTGCGCTTCTTAGCTCCCCGGCCCTGGATGTGAGGCTGATGACTGCACTCCAAGTGCTCCAAGTGCTCCAACACAACGCACTCTCTTCACATGACAAGCGATCCCACGACAGCGAGTGTGGGGACTACATGGACATGGACATGGACATGGACATGGACATGGACATGGACATGGACATGGACATGGACATGGTCCGTACGTGAAGGGTGGAGGGGCCCGTCCGCAGAGCTAGGCGGCGCGGGCACCCCCCACACTGGGGCCGAGGACAAGAGGCCGTTTGCCGCTTGCTTGTTCTTGATCCAGTTGGTGCGCACAGTGCGCGCCTGCTTGTTGATGTTTGTTTTTCGGCGTCGCCCGCCACCGCCGCCATGGAGATCTGCTGCGTGTGGTGGACGACAAAGGAGGAGGCGCTCGCCGACGCCGCCCCACGATACACCGTCCGGTCCGTGTTGGTGCCCACCGCTTCCTTGGCAAACACGTGGTCGTGGAGGAACTGCTTGGTTTTTTTTAGCAATACCAAACAACTCTAACACTCACACGTCATTTGGGGCCTGGAGCCCTGTTCACGCGCGCGCGAGACGTGCAGTGAGACAGGGTTGCCAGGTGAGAGCGAATGGCGCGGTTCACGCCTCGCACAACAGAGAGAGAGATGCGCTCTGCATGGTGGGACATAAAAGAGAGCGAGCACTTGGGCTAGTAGGCCGTGCGGTCAACGCTGCCGCGCGCGACTTTGCGCGCGAGGCGGCGCAGCTTGAGAGCGGCGGTGGGCGAGAAGCCGCCGCCGAACGTCTCGTGGAGCAGCAGGTTGAAGTTGTTGCGCTTGACAAAGATCGCGTCGTGGTAGAAACCACGGTGCGCCTTGACGTAGCCGTGGCCGGTCTTGTGGGAGAAGGGTTGGCCGGCTGCCCGCACGCCTTGCAGCCCATGTTCAGGCGGCGGGCCTTCTCCTCGGTGTTGCCGAAGGCGTAGGAGTGGCCGACGGAGGCGGGCGTGCCGCCACTCGAGGCGTTGCCAACGCCCGGCGAGGAGGTCTTGAGGGGGGCGTCCAGAGCTTGATTTCATTCACTTCATCGCACCCCCCCCCCCCCCCCGTCCCGCATGGCCATGGGGTTCTGCCAGGTCAGTCTTGTCTGCTTGGCGGCGCACTGCCACCGTAAAAGAAAAAGGCGGCGGATTGGGCGGGGTGCGCGCTGTGCCTGCGTGTTGTGCGTCGCCCATTTTCATATTACCTGCAGCGACGCCTGAAAAAAGAAAAAAAGTCGCGGAGCCCACACGGCACACAGGGATTTTGCGGTCTCTCCAACAAACACCTCTCCCAAATGTCTCTGTATTCCTCCATCCTAGTCTTCCTCGGCGCCCACAGCGTCGCGTCCTTCGCGACGCCGTGCCCAGCCGCAGCGCGCCGGCATCGCTGCGGCCGACTGGCCGCAGGGCTTTTCGACAGCCTCTTTGCGGCGGCTACGCCGCCTCCGCCGCCGCCACTGCCGACGGCCGAGGAGAACGCGAAAAAGGCCGCTGCGCTGGGCGTGCAGACGCCGTCCTACACCACGCTCCGCTCTGGCCCTGGCTGGGAGATTCGGGAGCTGCAGCCGATGCAGGTGGTCGAGTGCAGCTACGAGCGCCGTCCCGAGGGCTACGAGCTGCTCGGCGGCTACGCTCAGCGAGGCGAAAACTCGGCGCAGCTGGCGATGCCCGCGACGGCGCCGTGCCTTATGAGGCCTCTCGCGCGGCCAAAGACGATGTGGTACATGCTGCCGGCTCCCCATACACCGCTCGACCCAGCTGCCACGCCGGTTCCGCCTCCGACACCGCTCGCGGATGACATGCTCGCATGCAAGAGCGTGGAGCAGCTGGTGGTGGCGGTCGCTTGCTTTTCCGGGTACGCTGTCCCCGACGTGGTCCTCTCCGCACGCGACCGGCTCATCGCGTCGCTCTCCGAGGCTGGCGTCGAGCTCGCCGATGGCGCGGCGGTGGAAGGCCTTTTGCTCGCGCAGTACAACGAGCTCTTCGCGCTGCCGTGGGCGAGGGAGAACGAGGTCTGGTTACAGGTGCGGCCGGAGACCGTCGCCGGGTGAAATGCACTAATGGAGACGAGTGCATTTTGCGACTAAGTACGTACTATGTAAGTGAGAGAGCGGTGTGACCGAGAGCCACTCTTCCCCCGGCCTCGCTTGTGGATGTCTCTTCGATTCTTCCCGATTTAGTCGTGTAGCAAAATGACATTCTAAGCTTTTGCACACCCGCGCTCCCTGCACCCTACACGACCCTAATACCCCGATTCTCTCCTCACGTCGTGTAGGAGCGTGGTCGCGGCGAGTCCGAAGCAGAGGATGGAGAGGAGGGTTAGCAGCGAGCCCGAGGCGGCGCGGCCGCACACGAGCGCCACGTACCTCGGGAAGAGACGCGAGACCGACGCCTAGAGCGGGGATCGGGCAGAGGCGCATAAGGGAGAAGGCGAAGCGCGCAGGCTGCCATGGATGGAGATTGCCCAGTCGATCAGTTTGGCTGGCTGGCCGCCGCGCCACGTTGTGCGGCAGAAGCCACCCGCCTCGTCCGAGAAGAGGGAGTTCATCAGCAGGAGGGAGGAGGTGACGGTGAGCGCTATCGCCTGCCCGAGGAGCCGGTCGGTCGAACGAAGGGACACCCAAGCTCGCACCCCAATCATCGCTGCCAACCCAAACGTGCCAAGAAGAAAATGGACAGAGCAGCTCACCCAGTAGATCTCGTACGCCGGCGCATGAAGCAGCGCGGTGACCGAATGCGAGTCGCCTCCGTACACTGCAGTCGGAGGTCGGGTCGCGAGCTTCTGGATAGCAGTTGTGGCGCCGACAACCGCGAGAAGCTCGGCGCAGAGCGACGCCACCGCGGTGAGGAGATAGAGACGCTTGAGAGCAGTCAGGCTTGGGACGTCGCCGACGTCTGGGCGAAGCGCAAAAGCCGAGGCGAGTAGCGCGCTCGCGACCAGTGCTGCAGGCGTCCGCAGGTTGTTGAACAGCGCCGACGCTTCTTGGCTGAGGGCGTGCTCAGAGGCGTGATCACCGCCACCACCTCTCAGTGCGGTGGCGAGCGCAGGGCGAGGCGACGCAGCTAATACCGTTGGCATGGATAGAATAAGGGTAGACATTCGGCGAGCCGTCTTTCCAAAAGAAAGTTAGAGTCATCCACTCGGGGAGGCCTGCGGGCGGGTGTATTTATTTATTTATTCCTGCGGGCGGGATGACTGCTCTATTTATTTATTTCCTGCGGGCGGGCTTCTCTCGAGGTCTCGAGAAACACGGAGCGGCCAAGTGAATGTATGCCGCAGGCGGCGGCTCCCACCTCGATGGGTTATCACTCCTGGTCCTGCGTCTGCATCGAAGAGGGCTTCAACATTCAACCCGACCGCGTCGAACTCATCGGCGCGGGCTCTCTCGGCTACGGGACCGGCCCCAGCTTCGGCTGAGGGCTGACAAGCTGCCGAGCCCAAATCACTGTGATCAGACTGTGTCTGTGAGAGAGTGAGAGTCGTGATTTCTTGTTGGTTTTCAAAAATCTCTCTCTCAAACAGGAATCGAGGGTGACCGCATGTCTGCATCAGACGTGTCATCCGTCCCGATCGTGACCAACCTAGGGGCCTAGAGAACACAACCCCCTCTCCCTTTTCTCCCAGTAAGCTAAAAATACGTACGTCTCTCAACCCACAAATCTCTCAACCCACAATCTCTCGCACAAAGTTTTAGAAAAAGAAATCACGGCTGGCTCTTGACATCGTCGCAGTCGCTCCGACGTCCTCCATCCCGCGTTCTTTTTCTTTTCTTCGTTGCTTTCCCAATTTCTTTGCGGTCGCTCTGATGGCCGCGAGCCGTCTTTTTACCAGGTTGCAACCCTGGTTTCGCACTGTGCTGTGAACGCTGCTGGTTGGCGTCGGTTGCGCAGCACCCCGTCCCCATCCAGGTTGTTGGTTGCTGCCCCAGGTCCCGCACCATGTAGGTGCAACGCCCCGTTCTCTGGAACTGGATCATGCTTGTTCGGGTACGTGGTTCGCCCGTCCCTTATTGTGTCCCGTGCTGAGGGAGGGTGTAGAGGATGTAGAGTGTAGAGCGCTGTAGAGCTGTAGAGATGTAGAGCGCTCTGGAGCGCTGTAGAGCTGTAGAGCTCTACATCCGCCGCGGGACGAGGCGCCTGCGTTGTAGAGCGATGTAGAGCGCGATTTTGTTGTAGAGTTTGTTGTAGAGGCTCTACAGCCAAACCGCCGGGAAGGCAGTGACTCAAAGAGGTCGAGCCGCGCTAATGGGGTGTCTCCGAGCTTAGTGAAGCTCTGATGGACAGCCCTGACTATCCCTGACACACAGAGAGTCCCTCTGACGGCACACAACACCCTATAACTGCGTCATGACCAGCCTGCCATGTGTCGCCGGTGCCGCATTCGTCGCTGTGCTTCTTTAGCAGGCGGTGGACTGTCGGCTGCGAGGACGGTCGCATTTGCGCGAGGCGAGGCGAGCATTCAGACGCGTTGCATGCGCCATGACTCGCGCCAGCGCGTGCGGGAGCTCCTGGCTGAGCGTTGAGTCCAAGCGAGTTGCGCTGGCCACTATCGCTACGCCGAGCCGAGCTGACGCGCCGAGGCGCCGGCCAGTCGCAGCCGTGAGGCATGCCATACATAGCAGCAGAGGCACCTGCCACCCATTGGGCGGGCAGACAGAAGGCCAGGGCAGCACTGGCAAGTGCAACGCGCCTCATGTCGGAGAGCGACCGTGCCTCGTTCGCCGCTTATGATGTAGAGTTTGTTGTAGAGATTTCACGTTGTAGAGCGCCTCTACATCGCTCTACAACGCAGGCGCCTCGTCACGCGGCGGATGTAGAGCTCTACAGCTCTACAGCGCTCTCCAGCACTCTACATCTCTACAGCTCTACAGCGCTCTACACTCTACATCCTCTACACCCTCCCTCAGAGAGGATGTAGAGTGCAGAGCGCTGTAGAGCTGTAGAGATGTAGAGCGCTCTGGAGCGCTGTAGAGCTGTAGAGCTCTATATCGGGCGCGGGACGAACTGCGTGCGTTGTAGAGCGATGTAGAGCGCGATTTTGCTGTAGAGTTTGTTGTAGAGGCTCTACAACCAACCCGCCGGGAAGGCAGTGACTCAAAGAGGTCGAGTCGCACTAATGGGATGTCTCCGAGCTTACTGGAGCTCTGATAGACGGCCCTGACTATCCCTGACACAGAGAGAGTCACTCTGATGGCACACAACACCCCATAACTGCGTCATCACCAGCCTGCCATGCGTCGCCGGTGCCGCATTCATCGCAGTGCTTCTTTAGCAGGCGGTGGACTGTCGGCGGCGAGGACGGTCGCATTTGCGCAAGGCGAGGCGAGCATTCAGACGCGTTGCATGCGCCATGACTCGCGCCAGCGCGTGCGGGAGCTCCTGGCTGAGCGTTGAGTCCAAGCGAGTTGCGCTGGCCACGATCGCTACGCCGAGCCGAGCTGACGCGCCGAGGCGCCGGCCAGTCGCAGCCGTGAGGCATGCCACAGCAGCAGAGGCACCTCCCACCCATTGGGCGGGCAGACAGAAGGCCAGGGCAGCACTGGCAAGTGCAACGCGCCTCATGTCGGAGAGCGACCGTGCCTCGTTCGCCGCTTATGATGTAGAGTTTGTTGTAGAGATTTCGCGTTGTAGAGCGCCTCTACATCGCTCTACAACGCAGGCGCCTCGTCCCGCGGCGGATGTAGAGCTCTACAGCTCTACAGCGCTCCAGAGCGCTCTACATCTCTACAGCTCTACAGCGCTCTACACTCTACATCCTCTACACCCTCCCTCAGTCAGGTCCCGTGCACGTCGCCCGTCGGCAAAGCCGACGACCTAGGTGCAATGCACGCCGCTGGTTGTGGGGAGGACGTGCCGCTCGATGCTGCGGGCGGCGTTGACGCTCACAGCCAGTTCACGTATTTGGCCCCAGCTGTTCGGCTCGCTCCGCTCGCCGGTGAGTTGGTTGGTTGCTGGCAGCACCCCAGCACTTGGGGGTCCTGAGACCTGTTGGTTGCCGCTCGATTCACAGCACAGTGCAAAACTAGGGTTGCAACCTCGTAAAAGCGCGCAATACATTCACGTGAAAACGCTCCCATTTGCCCCGCCTGCCCGCCCTCGTCCCGGAAAAACTTCTCGTGTCGATGGCGCCGCACGAGCTCTGCACCGTGACAGCTGCTGCTGACGTGCCAGACGATTTCAAAGCGCTCGCCACCGCGTGGCCTCTGTGGGACTCCAAGACACACCCGCAGAAGCCTCGCGGTTCTGGGAAGTTTCGCTTTGATTACAACGGCACCTACGCGTCTGAGCGTGTGCTCATCATGTCGGGAGCGGCAACGCTCAAGCCTACCGACGGCTCACCTTCGTTCGACATCAAGGCAGGCGACGCCGTCACCTTTTGGAACGGCTTCTCCTGCGACTGGCGCGTAACGAAGCGAATGACAAAGCACTATGCGTACTACAGTGAAGACGGCAAACCTGAGGAGGAGTACGAGACTGGCATCGCGTGCGACATGTGCAGCGCCGACTGCTTCGCCGAATCCTATCTCTTCGAGGAGATGGATATCTGCCCGACGTGCTTCAAGAAGGATGAGGCCCGCTTCGAGGGGGCGGAGCACCAAAAGGAGGGAGAAGCCGTGCCGGCCGAGCAGCCCCAAAAGAAGCGGAAACAGAAGGCGTGAGGCTAGTATGCCCGAGGCGGACGAGGTGCTGGTCCGCACTACTGCGCACCTCTCTGACCTACTCTCGCCACTCACTGCACACTGCTCGACGTATGAGCCGCTATACACCGCGACGACAACATACCGGAAAGGGCGCGCGGCTACACTCCCGACACTGAGTGCCACGAGCCTGGGGCGGGGGTAGAGCGCGGGTGGCGATGAAGTCTCGCTGCCAGAGCTTTGTTTTTATAAGAGCGCGAGACCAGTTAAACAACGACATCGCAAGGGCGGGGGGACCTGTTCCTTTTTTTACCCATCTCACAAAATAAATAAATAAACAAAGTGTAGTGGAAAATCCAAAATCCAAATCGCAAACATAGAAATCCAAACACACACAGCCACGTGGCATAGGAGAGCAGGAGGTGAAAGGAGGTCAGCACAACTTCCAAGGACGCACGAGCGAGAAGCACAGCAGAGCAGACAGATGACGATCACCACCCAGCGCACGACCGCCAACCACGCCAACTCTCCGGCGCAGGCCGCGAAGAACCGAGTCCGGGAATAATAAAACGGGCACGCGCCAAACGAGGGGTGGGAGAAGGACAGGGTCCCCACCTGCACGAGCAGGATCTTGTAAGGACCCAAGCTGCAGAACATGTGCGGGCCAGCGCCTATGACGCTCAAGGAGTGAGGAAACGGACACCTCTCTACTGTGAGATGGGTAAAAAGGAACAGGTCCCCGCCCTTGCGATCTTTGTGCAGGGTTCTTTGTGGGTGTGGTCGGCGACTAGCCGGGGTCGTCCTCCCGATGGGGGACTAGCACTAGCCGTCTTCCACATGGTCCCTCGGGTCCCTGCTGCTCCTAATCTCTTCGTACATCCTCCTGCTGATCTCCGCAAAGTCCTGCTCCCTCCCTCGTCTCGCCCTGCGCGTCTGCTCCGCCTCACCGTCTTCTGCCCTGCGTCGTCTGGCGACGGGTCCTCCATAGTCGGTCGAGGTCGCCGCCCTCCTCGTGCCTCTTCCCAACGTTCCCTCGGCGGCCGATGCCGTCTGCTCCGGCTCCCCAGTCCCCGGGTCTGCCCTGCTCTCGTCTGCGGTAGTTTCTGCTTCGTCCTCACCGGCGTCTCTCCTCTTCCTTCTCCCCTGCGGGTCTTCATAGTAAGACCGGAGCGGGAGGGCTACGAAGCCTTCACACTCCAAGGGGCTGAGCAGCGAGCTGAGAGACGCCACGCGCGGCGGGGGGTCGGGGGAGCGGAAGGCCGCGCGCGCCGCGCCGCGCGCCCGGGCCCGCGCGGCCCTGAACCTGCGGGGTGCGGGGAGAGAGGGGCAAGGGGGGTTGGCGTCGCGGAGTTCAAATCCTATTCACAGATGCATTCCTCGTGTCACGGAGCAAGATGTTTTTCGGACTAAGTCAGGGTAGTACACTGACGCGACGCCTCTCTCTGACACATTGAATGATTCAATGACATGCATGCGGCATGCGGGACCCGAGCGGACACATTTTTTGCCGTCTCGTCGTCAACTAACTCACTTTCGCACATATGCATCTCAGAGGCGCACACCAGGCGCGCACACACATGCCATGCACCCCGCCACAAGTCCCTGGTACGCTAAGCCGCGCACATGTTCCTATCGCAGCTAAGAGTACATCACGGCCGGCGTCCTTTCCGCTGCTAAGCGCAGGGACAAGCCCACACACACCGCCAAGAACTCACTGCAGCTCGAACATGGGCATTTCCTCCTTTATCTCCTCGTCCAACTCCACGAGCACAGCGCCAATCACCCCGGAGCAGTTCGCCTGGCACATCGTAACGCGTGGAGACGGCTGAAAGTCGGGCCTCGGCAAGTGACATGTGTGCGACATAATTTGCTGTGTGCGAAGCACCTTTACGTTGATCGCGGCCTTCTCCGTCTCTATCACTGCTACAACGTCGTTCTCCTCAACCGTCGCCCCAACATCGACGAGGATTTCTCCGAGTTCGCCGATGATGCCCTCTGCTAGCGGCATCGTGTCGGAAATGAATGGAGCATCCAGCGTTCTCGCACCCGGCGTAGGTTCTGTGGCGAGCGTTCTTCGCCTGCCGCAGAGCGTGGGGCCGATGACTAGATGCCCGATGCCTAGACGCGCCAATCCCAGCCGTGCATTGGCGTGGCAACATCGCACGACGCGGTGGTGCGAAGCTCCCACCCTCATTGTGACCGTCGCAAGAAATTCGCCATTTCTTTTCTCGCCTGAAAGATGGTAGTCAATACGACAACCGCACCACCCACAAAGCACCTTTACTACCGGTACCGCTCTACACTAATACTATCCTGGACCTGGTCCCAGCAAGTGGACCCACCACACACACACATGACACAATGAGGAGATGGCGCGGCCCGCGCATTGTGCCGGACAAACGCGACAGAACACGTCCCGCGGCGAGCCCGCGCACGCGCACTGGTCTTGAGTCCGCAAATCGACGGCATGCTGGTGTGGTCCCGCCCTCGCCCTCGCTTGGCTGGCTCCGGAGGAGTAGCGGGAGGACTGGCGCCGCCCCGCCGCCCGCCCTCAGTTCGGCGTGGACAAGCCGCCCGGGCCGAGCCCGACGCCGCCCGGGCCGGCGAACGGAGGGCGTTGCGGCGGCCTCCCCGCCCCGCCGGCGCCGTCCTCCCGCTCGCCGCTCGTCTCGAGCCGGCGGCGCAGCGCCTCCTCGTACTGCTCGAGCGGCGGGAGCTCGTCGGTGGACGCCTTGCTCCGCAGCCGCGTGCAGACCCACCGCCGCTCCGCCTGACGGCACACGTCGAGGATGTCGCGGCCGGACAGGCCGACCGCCGCGTCGCCGAGCCGGCTCAGCTCCGCCGCCGCCAGGTGCTTTGCGTACAGCCCGAAGATCTGGGAGCGGCCCGCCGCCTCGGGCGCAGCAAAGTGGACCCGCACGTCGAAGCGCGAGAGGAGGGCCGAGTCGAGGTCCGTGCGCCGGTTGGTCGCGGCGATGAGCGTCACCTCCTTCTGCGCGTCCATGCCGTCGAGCCGCCGCAGCAGCACGGAGAGCATGCGGCGCGACGCCTCGTGCATCTCGCGCGAGCGCGAGCCGGCGAGCGCGTCCAGCTCGTCGAGGAAGAGGACGCACCTGCGGGTAGAAGAGCGCGAGGTGACCCCACGTGAAAGATAAATGAGAATGACGCACCTGCGGGCAGAAGAGCGCGGGCAGAGAGGCGGGCGGATGCTCGGCGAGGGGGGGAGGGGAGGGGGCGTGTGCGGGGATGCATCGAGGAGGGCGACGCGCCGGCCGAGCCGTCCGCACTCGTCGAAGAGGGCAGCGAGCTGCTGCTCCGCCTACAGCGACGCTCCGAGGCGGCTCAGGCACCCGCCGCCGCCCGTCGAGAGGGGGGAGGGGCAGGGAGGCTGCTGCGCTGCCTTTCCGTACCACTTCGACATCAGTGCCTCGAGCGGGACGTACACGAGAGGGAGGCCCGCCGACGCGGCGGCGATGCGCGCCGCCGTCGTCTTTCCGGTCCCGGGCGGGCCTGCGGCGAGGCTCCGGGAAGGGTCAGGGAAGGGTCCGCGCCGCCACCCCTTGCTTGTGGGGCGCGGTGCCGTAGAAGAGCAGCGTGCCCGCGCGGTCGCCCTTGGTGGTGAGGGTGCGGGTGCCGGCTCGCACCGCCGCGAAGGCCTCGGGGTGCTGCAGCGGCAGGAGCAGCGCCTCCTCCACCTGCAGCCGCGTCTCCTCGGCGCCCGCCAGCGCGTCCCAAGTGATGTCCTCCTCCTCCTCCTCGTCCCCGCCCGCCTCTGGCGGCAGCGCCACCCGCGCACCCATCCCCTCGAGCCGCTCGACGCTCTCGCCCTGCGCGTCGACCACCTGCCCCGCGCCGGACGAGTCACGAGAAGAATGGAGAGGGGAGTAGTCCTACTCGGCCGGTGCACACGATAAGGAGGGGGCTCCTCGGCCGGGCACCTGCCCCGCCAGGTGGTCCTCGTACTCCTTCTCGCGGCCGGGGAGAGGGACCTAAGCGATAGCGATAAGATCAGAAGGAAGGACGCTCGCCCTACTCTTTCCCCGCGACCAGAGGGGCCTCGTCGCTCGCACGGCCGTACCCCGCGCTCGGCTGGCCGTACCCCGCGCCCGACTGCGTGTAGCTGCTCTGCTGCCCGAAGCTGCTCTTCTCCCAGTGCGGCTCTGCCTGGTACCCGCTGCCGGCCGGCTGCCCGCTGCCCGCCGCGCCTCCCTCTGCCGCAGGAGGAGGGGGGTCGGGCGGCGGGACGCCGTGCGGCCTCTTGAAGTCGGCGGTGGGGAGGTCGTAAAAGTTGTTGCGCAGCCCGGGCGACTTGTGCCGCCGCTCTGCGTCGACTGGTGGCGGCTGCCGGTACGACCGCCGCGGCCCAGCCTGAGGGCCTGGAGGCTGCTGCGAAAAGGTGTCGTACTCCCTGTCCCTCGCCGCGGGGCCGCGCCCTGGCATCGGCCCTCCCGCCTGGCCGCGGCCCGGCATCGGCCCTGCCACCGGGCCACGAGGGCCTGGGACGTACCGAGGTGGCGGCTCGTAGAAGTCCGGCGGAGGGCCCTGTGGCATGCCACGCCCGCGCCCGCGAGGGCCAGGACGTGGCTGCGGGCCCCGAAAGCCTGGAACCATGCCGCGCCGTGCGTCTTCGCGGGCCATCCTTCGCTCCTCTGCCGACCGGTACGGCTGGGGGCCAATCATGCGCGGCGCGGCCGCGCGAGGCGCCGACGGGTGGAGGGCCGTCAGCGACGGCTGGACCACCGCGATGTGGAAGACGGCGGGGAAGAGCATTGTTCACAGAGTCACAAGGCCCAGCGGGCTAGGACCCTCGGTGCGCTGGCTAAGACCGCAGCCGCTCCTTCCACTCAGTCGTGGCTTGTCGAAGACGTTGGAGATCTCGAGCGACTGCCTTTTCTTTTTTCATGAAAAGGGATGGAAAAAAGAAAAGGCACTACCGACCCTCTCTTGACAGTCCTAGCCGCGCAAACACCTTTCTCGGGCTGTTGGCTGTTCGCTCCTCAATGGCTGCCATCCAGGACGAGGCGCGGCGAGGAGGAGAGGCGGGTGAGGACGCGGAGGACACACAGGACACGGAACTCGCTCAAGCGCTCGCCCTTTCGCTCGAGAGCCCGGGTCCGCCCTCGCGCTTTGGCGCTCTTGCGGACGGCGCCGAGGGCGGCGCCCAGACCGCTGAAGACGAGAGCTTACAGCAGGCCCTGCTGCAGAGCATGGAGCAGCCCGGGCCGCTCGACGAAGACGCTGCCCTCGCGGCGGCGCTGGCGGCCAGCATGCAGGACGCAGGCCCGGCCGTGGCCGCGGGTTACGACGACAGTGAGCGCGAGCGGCAGGAGCTCGACCACGCCCTCGCCCTCAGCCTCAGCGACCCGGCGGCCGATCCCGACGCCGCCGCCGCCGCCGCCAACAACAACAACAACAACACCGCCGCCGCCGCCGCCACCGCCGCCGCCGGCGCAGCCTCGAGCAGCGGCGGAGCGGTGGAGTCGCAGAGTGAGCGGGAGCAGAGGGAGCTGCGAGAGGCGCTGGAGGCGGCAGAGGCGGCGGACGAGGCCGAGGCGCTGGAGCTGGCGAGCCGGCTCGAGCGCGAGGAGCGCGAGGCGGAGGAGAGGCGGCGGCAGCAGGTCCGTCAGCAGGAGGAGGCGGACCAGGCGCTCGTGGCGGAGATGTTTGCGACGGACGAGGCGGCGAGGGCGAGGCGCGACGAGGAGAGGGCGGCGGCGGCGCTCGACGAGGAGAGGGCGGCGCCGCTGGACCTTGACGCCCTCGTCGCACTTTCGCTGCAGAGAGAGGAGGACGAGTCGGGCGGCGGCCGCGAGGAGGCGGAGAGGCGGCGAGCGCAGGAGGAGGCGGACCACGCGTTTGCGGCGGAGCTGATTGCGAAGGAGGAGAGTGCGGCGGAAGGCGAGGCGGCGGGCGAGGAGTGGGACGCACAGCTCGCGGCGTCGCTGCAGGAGGAGCAGGAGGAGCCGCGCGCCAACCAAGGCGTTCCGAGGGAGCCGCAGCCAGGTGCAGACACCAGGAGCGCCTCGGCCTCCGCCTCCGCCTTTGGCGGCGGCGGCGGCGCGGCGGCGGGAGGGGGCGGGGGCGGGTGGAGCGAGGTGACGCGACGGCAGCCGGCGCCGCGGCGGGCGCCTCCCGCGCCTGCGCCCTCTCGAGCCGCCGCGCCCGCTCGCGCCCGCACGCCTCCGCCGTGCGCCAAGAGGAGGGTCCTCGCTCGGGGGGTGTGAAGAGGTGTCGACGCGCTGCGGGTGTGGATAGGTACGAGAAGTGGATGGTCATCATCGACGGGCTCAACGTCGGGCGGGCGCACGGCTCGGTCGGCTGGAAGAGCCCGCTCGTGCCCGCGGCGGAGATCTCTGCGTCGGGGCCGCTGTGGAAGAAGCCAATCTGCGGGCAAGCGATCCTGCAGTCCGTCAACGACGTGATGGCCAAGGGGCACGACGTCAAGGTCTTTCTTCCCCAGTGGGTGCGCGCCGGCGGCCGTCCAGCTCCGCGCCCGCCCTTCGCCGCGCCGCCCGACGCCCCCGACACCTCTCTCCGGGCCGGCGGCCGCAGGTGGTCGAGGCACCGAGGCCAGGCACGCCAGACAGGCGAGCGTACGGCTTCAACGACCTGATCGCCCTCGCGGAGAAGCGCAACTCGGAGCGCGCCCCCCGCGCGCGCCTCGGCCGCCCCCGCGCGGCCCTCACCGCGCGGGCTCTCCCTGCGGCAGGACGGCTCTCCCATGCTCGAGCTCACGCCGTCGATGGCGAGCGACGACCACTTCTTCCTCGAGTTCGCGACGCGGTACGAGGCGGAGGGCGACTACCCCGTGCGCGTGCTCTCCAACGACCACTTCCGGAAGGAGGTGGAGCAGGGCAACATCTCAGCAGGCTGGCGGGACGAGCACACGATCAAGTACAAGTTCATGCACATGCCTCGGAGCGGGCTCAGGCTCTCCACCGCACCCACCCTCCCGGGGTGAAGCCGGGGGCCATGCGCCCGGCACCGCCGAGCAGGCCGCCGCCGCCTGCGGGTTTGTGTGTGTGTGTGTACGTATTCCTACCCCCAGCGTCGCGTCGCGGGAGGCGTCGGGAACAGGGACCAAGGTCTAGACCGAGGTCAGCTGATCAAAACCTGAGCGGTCAGGACGAAAGCGACAGCGACAGAAAGCTGTGAAAAAAGCCAAGACTTAAGACCTAAGACGGCCAACACGAAACCTATAACCTTCGCGTTACGGCTAATCGTGTTTATGCACACCAACGCGCGATGGACGTGGACGCGGGAGGAACGGCCAAGCTGCACGACCACGAGGCGCGCGGCGGCGTCCCACTCCCACAGGCCGCCGAGGAAGCGCGCGGGGGCGATTTGAGAACGAACGTAGCGATTCGATGAGCCAGGGGGAGGGGGCGAACCAGCAGCATCACGAGGGCGAGGAGCCGATGACGAAAGCGCAGAGAAAGCGGGAGCGCCAGCGGAAGGAGGGCCCGCCACGGAAGCCTAGAGATGATTTCAGACGGAGACGCGCCGACCAACCGTACTAAGCCGACAGAGGAAGGGGGCTCCGAAAGGCCGCGCATGCCCTCGCATGCCGGGCGAATAGGCAGGTCACAGACCTCCCCCTTCCCGATGAACGTGGTTCATGGTGGGTGTTCTGTTCATAACGCTACTTACTTGTACTTGTAACCACGATCGATGCGAGGACGCAAGTCCACCAACCTCGGCCATTCCAACGGCCAGACCGCTCGCTTAAGGCTGATCGGCTATAGCTAGACGAGCGGTCTACCCCCGACGGGGCGGTCGGGATCACGGGGGATGACATCTTGCCTCCCGGCACGCCGGGAGGAGGTGGTTGCTCCGCCGCCGGACCCCCCCCTCCACCACCCTCGCCAAGGGATCTACAACGCTGTCTTAAGGTCCGACCTGTGGGCTCTGCCTGCGCTCGGCACCGGGCACCGCCTCGGTACACAAAATGCGCCTGCGGGCGGACCCTTACAGATCACAGATCACACCAACGCGCGGGCGAGCGACAGAGATCAGCTGATGCGGGCTTCGCAAGAAGCGCTGTCTTTTCTTTTTTTCAGTGTCCTGTTGTGACTGACCTGCTCTGCCCCAAGTGCACAGAGGGGACGTGGCACCGAGTGGCGTATAGTGCCGTACGCTCACGCAGGATGTGTGGCAGCCCAGCCTGGCTGAGACCTGAGTGTCCTCCACCTGTGAGTTTGTGTGTCTGTGTGTCGCTCGTGCGTGTCGTCGTCTTCACTCTTATATTGGTTATCACTCTTCTGTCTCGCGAGAGAGATTTGTTGTTTGTTTGTCTCGCGTCCACCCATACCGCGCTGTGCCTGTGGTGTCCAGTCCGGGCCTGACTGTTCATCTGTTCTTCACCTTCCTACCTAACCTAACCTACTACAAGTAAACGAACAAGAAGTCAACGACGCACGCAGTGCGAGAGAGAGATTTTTAGCAATACCAAACAAATCTAACACTCACACGTCATTTGGGGCCTGGAGCCCTGTTCACGCGCGCGCGAGACGTGCAGACAGGGTTGCCAGGTGAGAGCGAATGGCGCGGTTCACGCCTCGCACAACAGAGAGAGAGATGCGCTCTGCATGGTGGGACATAAAAGAGAGCGAGTACTTGGGCGAGTAGGCCGTGCGGTCGACGCTGCCGCGTTTGTTTGTTCGCAGTGCCAGAGGCAAAGCTCAAATAAACGCATGCATTTTCTTTTTTCCAATCTGTGATAGTGCTAGCACGCGCCAGTTCGCACCTGTGTCGAGCCTGTCTGCTATAAATAAAATAAATAAAACGGACACACCAAACAAGGGTGGGAGAAGGACAGGGTCCCCACCTGCGCGAGCAGGATCTTGTAAGGACGATCAGGGACAGAAAGAAAGAAAGAAAACAGACGCGTCAAGGGAGGGATGGGAGGACGGCACGCCGCCACCACACAGGGATTTTCAGGGACAAAAGAAAGAAAGAAAAGAGACAACCACCGCGGCAAATTCTTTTTTCCAATCAGGGCGCTGTGACTCGCTGACCTGCTCTGTGTGTGGCCAGACTATGTCCATCGACATCGAGGTGCGGCAGTGGGACGGCGTCTTCCAGGGCGGCTGGTTCTGCGCCACTGCGGTAAGGCGCGACGAGCGCAACAAAAAGGTGCTCTTGCGCTATCACACCGAGGCAGACGGAGCACCGATCCAAGCGTGGGCGCCGTCACAGTGTGTTCGGCAGATGCCGCCTTCAGCCTCGCACGGGTGGGCGGCGTCGATCCAGGATGGCGCGCCCGTCCACGTTGCTCGCGGCGGCGGCTTCTGGCTCGCGCGCATAGAAGGGCGGCGGAGGTCGGAGGGTTCTGCGGAGGCGTCGAGCTCGAGTGCCGGTGCTGCCACCGGCTGGATCTTCACCGTGCGCGAGTCGAGCGGCACCGTGCATGTGGTTGGCGAAGACGAGCTGCGGCCCGCCTGGCTGCTCAACCCCGACGGCGAGGCGCCCATCGCGACCTGGAGGGAAGCGCGCACCTTGGATGAGGCGCTCGCCGACGACTCTCGCTTTGTACCAACCTCGCCGCCTCTGGTGATGGACCGCGAGCCAGACGCTCTCGGCGCAGGAGCGCCCGAGGCAGAGACGAATGTCTCGGGGGCGGAGGCGGCAATGCCAGCCCCGGCGCCCTCAGCGGAACCGGAACCCGCGGCGGCGGCAGCGCTGGCGGCGGCGGCGGCGGCGCTGCCGCCTTCTTCACCCTCGAGCTGCGCCGCGCCCTCTCCCGACTGGGTGCAGCTGGGGAGCGAGGTCGAGTTCTCGGACGCGTCCGGCGCGTGGTGCTCCGGCGAGCTCCTCTCTCTCCTCGACGCGGAGGGCGCCGCGGCGTCGGCAGGCGGGGCGGCGGTGACGGCGGTGGTCAAGAGCCGGCTGGCTGTCAGCGCGGGGCCGTACTCGGCGGGCAAGCTGCTGCTGCTGCGCACGCGGGTGCCTGTGGCCGACCTCCGGCCACGGCCGCCGCCGCCGCCGCCCTCCTTCCTCTCCCCCGCGACGGTTGGCAGCCGGCTCCAGCTCCGCTTCGAGGGCGCGTGGTGGGAGGTGGAGCTGCGGGGAGTGCTTCCGGCCGCCGGCACCGCCGAGGCGCCGGGCGGCGAGGGCGAGGGCGTGGAGGGGGAGGGCGGCGCAGCTGGCGAGAGTGCAGCAACTGGCGAGGGCGGCGCAGCAGCTGGCGAGGGCGGCGCAGCAGCTGGCGAGGGCGGCGCAGCAGCTGGCGAGGGCGGTGCGCAGGAGAGGAGCCCCGCCGCGCGCGAGAGCCGCTACTGCGTCGCGAGCGAGCGGCACCCGGAGGTGGGTGGCGAGGTGCGCGCCCCCATGCTGCGGCCGGCGTGGGTCTGGGAGGCTGGCCAGTGGCGCGCCGAGGGGAGCCTGGCGGACGGCGATGGCGCCGGCTGCCGCGAGGTGGGCGGCGATGGGGAGAAGAAGGAGGAGGAGGAGAGCAGGGTGAGGGCGGGCTCGCACGAGGGCTCGAGCGCGCCGCCCGCACTGCGAGGCGCCGCGCCGCGAGAGGTGTCCGGCCTGCGCGTGCGGGTGTGGGACGCCTCGTCCGGTGGCGGAGCGCGGCGAGTGATGCTCGGCACGGCGGTCGGGTACGCGCCTGGGATGGGCCTCTGCGTCAGCCTCGACCCTGTGCCGCTGGGCCCTGTGGCGCGCGATGCCGCCAAACCAAAGTCGAGGGGCGGCGGTGCCGCCGCCGCCGCCGCCGCCGCAGCCAATGCCAACGCCACCGCCGCTTCAGCCGCCGCCGCCGCCGCCGCCGCCGCCAGTGCCGCCAGAGCCGCCGATGCCGCGGCTGCCGCGGCTGCCGCCGCTCCCTCCCCATCACCTGCTTCCTCCTCCTCCGCCGCCCCCCCGCCCGGCGGTGATGACGAGCCGGAGGAGGGCTCCGACGCAGCCGCAGCCCCGCCCACGGCGGCCGCCACCTGCGCAGACTTCTCGCCAAAGCCTGCCCTGGGGCAGTGCGAGCGCAACCCGCTCTGCGTGCGCGGCTTTCGGCACGGCGGTCGCGGCGGGAAATGCTCCTCCGCCCTTCCGGACGCGCGCCTGCGTCGCACCAGCCGGCCACGCCCGAGCCACGACTCTCCTCCTCCGGCCCTCACTCCCGCGAGCTCGGCAGAGTCCGCCGCGCCTGCTCGCCGCGGCCCTTGCGTGTGGGTTGGCTCCGGGGCGTCGTGGGAGTGGGTCCCTCTCGACGAGGCGCCGAGGAGCGCCGGCGACGAGGCGGAGGCTGCCGCGCGCGGGCTGGCGGCTGCGCGCGCGACCGCCCTGCTGAGCGCGTTCGCTCCGGCGAGCTCTTCCGGCGTCGAGAAGCCCGGCGCGAAGAAGCGGGCGGCGGAGGCGGCGACGCGCGAGAGCCTAGAGGTGGGGCGGCGCGTCGAGCTGTGGGGGCGCGAGGAGGGCTTCTTCGGCTCGTGGTACGAGGCCGAGGTTGTGCGTGTGCGCGGCTCGCAGGTCCAGGTCGCCATCCTCGAGCTGTACGACGACGAGGGCCCGACGGACCCGGAGAGCGACGAGCCGCCGCCGCCGCACCGCCGCCTGCGCGAGTGGTGGCCCGTCAGCCGCGTGCGACCAATGCCTCCGCCCGCCCCCTCGCTCGCGGGGCTGCGGAAGGGGGACCGCGTCGACCTGCGGCACGAGGGCGGCTGGTGGGAGGTTGGCGTCACGGCGCTCCTGCCTCGCGGCGGCGTGCGCGTGACGTACGAGTTGGGCGCCGCCTCGCACTCTCTCTCCGCGGAGGGCATCGAGAGCGGCTCGCTGCGGCCGTGCTGGTTCTGGCGCCCCGACGGCTCCTGGATGACGTGGCACCAGCACGCGGCGGCCGCTGCAAAGCGACAAAAGGCGGGCGGCAGCGTCGGCAAGGCGGGCGGCAAGGGCAGCAGCGCCAAGGCTCCACCCTCGCCGAAGCCGCCAGCCCACTGCGCCGGACGACCAGCCTGGCGGCTTCCCGAGGCTAACGGCGCCGGCCCCTCCGGACGAGCTGCCGCCGGCGAGCTGCGGCCCGCCGCCACGGCAGCCGGCACCTCCAAGTCGGCGCAGCCGGCATCGCCGAGGGAGCCCGTCGCGGCAGACGGCGGACCGCTGTCGCCCAGCACACCGCACGGAGGCAGCGGGCCCAAGGGCGACAGCCGCCGCAGCCCACTTGGCCGCCCGCCGCAGGGTTTGGCGCTGCAGCGGCACCAGGCGCTCTACGGCGGGTCTGCAGCGGTGGTGCCGTGCGAGCTTCCGAGCCCGGACCCCGCGCAGCCGTCCCTCTTCTTTCCGTGCCGCGAGGCAGCTCTCCAGTTCGCCGCCGAGTGGGCGGAACAGATCGCCCCGCTGTCGGTCGCCGAGGGAGCGCGCCAGCTGCTGTGGCACTTCCCGGCCGGCGCTTCTGTCAAGGTGCGCTGCACCCGCGAGGGCAACGAGTTGGGCTTGCCGCTCGGCGACGTGCGTGCCCGAGTCATCTCGCTCGACGAGGCGCGCGGCGGGCTGCTCCTCTGCCCCGACTCGCCCTACGGCTCGCTATTCTCCGTGCACCGGCTGTCGAACTTGCTGAACCGAAGCGGCAAGTGGAAGGCGGCCTTCAAGCTGCTCCGCGAGCCGCACTCCACGCCGAACGCGCCGCTGCAGGCGGCGGACGGCAGGCCAATCCCGCTGCAGCCGACTTGGGAGTGGTGCGATGAGCATGGGCTACCGGCGCCGCACGCCAGCCGGCGCATTTGGGTGGCGGACGCCGCTTGCCCCGGCGCACGGCAGCAGGTGCTGCAGCAGCAGCTCAAGGAGCAGCAGCAGAAGCTCAAGGAGCAGCAGCAGGCGCAGGCGCTGGAGCTGCTGCAGCAGGCGCAGGCGCAGCCGTCGCTGCCGTCGCCAGCGTCACCAAAGAAGCAGTGGGCAGCAGGGGGGCTCGGCCCTTGCATCCTGACGGAGGGCTGCATCCGCGGGTTCAAGCACGGCGGGAAGGGCGGGAAGTGCAAGGTGCCTGGTATCGGCTCACCCACCGCCGCTCCCGCCGCCGCCAAGGTTTGCGCCCCACCGGCGCGCGCGTGGTGGGCGGGGACTTGTGGCGGCCTGTCGGCGGGCACCGGCTGGCAGCGGGTCATCTACGACGACGGCTTCGAGCGCTTCCACAACGTGCCAAAGCTGCTCGCCCAGGGGCTGGCCTCGTGGGTGGAGCCGAGCGACGCTCGTGAGCCGAGCGGCGCCCAGCCAGACATCGGCGCTCGGCAGGCGGTTGTGGGGCCCGCCGGCTGCTCTGCAGGCGAGGAGCCCGCCTCGGCAAAGGGGGAGGCCGGTGCTGGCGGCGAGGCCCAGCGGCACGCTCAAAAGGCCGCTGCGCAGGGCGACTCGGGCGTGGAGAGGCTCCGCCTGGAAGCGACGCTGGCGGCCGCTGCGCTCCTGCCGCGCCCGCAGCCCCGCGTGGGGGAGGAGAGAGGCGCGAGCGGCGCTCCCTCCGCCGCACCCCTACCTCTCCTCCCCAGCGCGCCGCTGCCGGCCGAGTCGTCGCCGAGGTCGGGACTTGCGCAGGAAGAGCGCCGCTCAGAGCCACCGTTGCACCACCCGCAGCCGAGGGCGCACTACGGCCGCAGCTTGCCTGTCGTGTGGGCCGCCGCGCCGCCCGCGGCGCACTACCAGCCGCCCGCTCCGTGGGGCCCGGTTGCCTCGTGGGGGCCGGGCACGCCGTGGGGAGACGCGCCCGGCATGCCCCCGGTGGGGTACGCCCCTTCGCTGGGGTACCCCCCCTCGCTGGGTTGCCCCCCCGGCGTGCCGCCGCAGTGGGGCATGACTGGCGCGCCCCTCGCCCCCGCCTCCAGCTCGCATCCGGCTCCGGGCCCGGCAGTGAGGCACACTCGGGTCGTGGCGTCGCCAGTCTGTGGAGGGAGCTCGTTGTCTGAGCAGCACCCCGCCCACGCAGCGGCATCGCCCGTTGCCGCGGCGGCAGCGGCGGCGGCGGCGGCAGCGGCGGCGGCGGCGGCGGCGGCGGCCACTGCCGTCGTGCCACCGGGGCTGATGAAGCGCCCCTCCGGGCGCGCGCCATTCGCGGCGTGCGGCACGCCCTTCCAGTGGGACGCGCACAAGGGGCTGTGGGTGCGTTCCGTAGCGATCAGAGAGTCTGCCCCGCGAGAGTCTCCCTGCGAGAGCGGTGCACACCTCACTCACGGTGTCTCGGACTCGACTCTCAGGTGAGCCCCGACGGCAAAGAGACGCGCGTGCCGGGCAAGGCGCGCAAGGCAAAGGGGCCGGGCGCCGACGCCGCGCCGGGCGGCGAGACTGCTGGGGCAGTTGCGGGTGGGGCGGCGCCGCGGGCAGCAGAGGCGTGTGCGGGGGCGGGGGCGGAGAAGCGACCTTGCAGCTCGCCCAGCGACCGTGCGAGCAAGAAGGCTGCACGCGCCGGGACGGACGGCAGCCCCGCCTCCGCAGGGGCGGCTGTCGGCGTGTCGCCGGCTGGGCATGGGCGAGGGCACGCGTCTCCGCCTCGCGACGCCGCAATCTCGACTGCGCTGGCCTCGCCTTGGCTGGTGGCTTCCTCTCCGGGCGTGGCGGGTGGGCGCGCCTTGCTCCGCGCCGCGGCGGCGGCCATTTCGGAGGCTGGCGAGGCGGCCGCGCGGCGGCTAGCGCCCGGCATCCGAGCGGCGCCCGCCCTCGACCGGTTGCTCGTCGGCCCTCTCCCCCTGTGCGAGGGCGCCTCGCCGCTCGTGCTTGCGGCGCCGCTGCGCTCTCGCAGCGGCACGTCGGAGGAGCTCGCCGCGATGGCGCGGCTGCTGCTGCGCTCTGCCGTCTGGCCCGCCGCCGCCGACCGGCCCGCGATCTCCACCATCGGGCTCCCCGCCCAGCAGGCGCGAGACCGCGTCACCGCCCTAGTGACTCATCTCCACCCGACGGGAGATTGCCGCACCGTTGGCGTGCTCGCGCCGACAGCGGCCGGCCGCACCAGCGCCGCCGGCGGCACCGGCGACGCCGCCGGCACCGGCGACGGCGACGCCGCCGAGCTGCTGGCTGCGGCGGCGGTTCGCGCGCACTGCTCGGCGGGTGGAGACCTGCTCGCCCTCGAGGTGCTCCTCACCGCCGCGGCGGACGATCCGGACGGCGGCGGGGAGCCGAGCGGCGGCGGCGGCGGAGGCGGAGGCGGAGACCGAGCGTTGCGGCGGCAGCTGCAGAGGCGGCTGCTCGCGGCGGCGCTGCTCGAGCTGGCGCTCGCCACGACAGAGGCGGCGCGACACGGCGGCGCTGCGCTCAGGCAGGCTCAGGGCGCTTCGCCCTCGTCCGAGGCGGCCGGCGGCGGCGCAAAGGGGCTCGCGAGAGGGGCGGAGGAGGCGAGCGCGCCGCCGACCGGCGAGTCTTCCGACGAGGGTGCCCTCTTGCTCTTGCACGCGCCTCGGTGCGACGTCGAGTTTTGGCGCCGGCAAGGCTTTTGCGAGCCGAGGCTCTTGCCGCAAAAGCGGTTGCGCGCCATCGCCGTCCAAGCAAGCTGCGGCCGGGGAGGCGCGGGGGTGGCGCTCGAGTGTTTCACCCCCGACGGCACCAAAGCCCCGGTGGTCCTCGCCGCGGTGGCGACGCCGCAGCACGATTACGTCGGCACCGCGGCGCGCGCGTGGCGATTGTGGTGCGGCGGCCCCTGAGGCGCGTCTCTGGGAGCTTCATGACTCACCTGTGTCGTCTCAAACGCGACGGTCGAGAGTACGGCGAAGATGCGAACGCTTTAGAGAGTCGTCCAGAGCTCTCTATCCATCTGTCGAGATCTCTTCCTGGTGCCTGCTGATCTGTATTTTCAAATTTGTATTTGGTTGTATTTAAAGTGTGTAGATCCATGACCATGTGATACCAGGTTGGTGTCCAGTCCGACCATGGCTGTTCCTCACCTTACTACCTACCTACCTACCATGAGCATGTCCCATGATCCGCATCAAGATATCAACATCGTGATTTCGTGTATATGTATCTGTAAGGGGAATCGCCCCGGGCCCGCTCAGTTCGTCCAAAAGCTGTGCAGCATCACGCAACGATAGGAGGTGCCCACAGGACCCAAAAGAAAATAGCTTTGCCTCTCAAAAAGGGACGCACGAGGCAAATCCGATGTTGGAATGTTTGAATAGGTCTTTTTGTGCACGGGACTGGCGCGCACTGGCACTAACTGCGACCTACCCATAAAATTCTTTTCGCGCGGTGTTTTGTAGTGTGGCAGTGTGCGCCAGTCAGTGTGCGCCAGTCCGTGCCAGTGTCGTGGTGGGAGCTTTGTGCTCTTGTGCCTCGCCGCGACCGGCCAAATTGCCCTTAGTGCGCCAGCTGTAATGCAAGCCGCCGCCGCCGCCGCCGCCCCTCCCTTCAGCCGCGGCGACAAGCTGCGGCTTTGCGCCCCCGCGAGCAGCGGGCTGCCTCGTAACGCCACCGCCATCGTGGCGAGCGCCGCCTCGACCGACGCCGGCTGGGTGTTCGATGTCACGCTGACCGGCGGCGGTCCGACGGGCTCGGACGTGCGCCACGTCAGGGGCGTCTCGGCCGAATGGCTGCGCCGCGAGAATGTGATTGCCACCGCAAAGTCGTGTGCCGCGAGGCCGTGGGGCGTGTGGGTGCGTGGGGCTCCCCGGCTCCTCGTCCCGCTCTTCCAGCGGCGCTACTGCTGGGGGGCCGAGCAGCAGGCGCGGCTCTGGCGCGACGTCACCTCGCTGGGCGCAACGGGGCCGGGGCCGGCGGGCCTGTCCCACGGGCTCGGCCGCGTCGTCGTGCAGCGGTCACGCGCCAGGCCGGCGGACGCGGTCGTGCTCGACGGGCAGCAGCGGACGATAACGCTCACGCTGCTGCTCGCGGCGGTGCGCGACGCCGCCATCGCCGCCGACGCCGCCGCGGCCGCCCCGCTGGCGCGGCGCATTGACGGCGTGCTGTTGCGTCCGAGGACGGGCGGGCCTTGTGTGGGCGAGGCGGACTGCGTGGCGGCGAGGTGCGCCTGGCAAGAATGATGGCCGTCACAGCAGCTGCTGTGTGTGGGCAGGCGGACGGCGCGGCGGTGAGGTACGCCTACCAGGCGGGCTTGGAGGGGCTGCCGCGCGCGGAGACGGTGCGGCTGGTCGCCTCGCGCGAAGACCGGCGCGCCGTCTGCTCGCTCGTGCTCGGCGTCCCCCTCGACATCGGCTCTGCGGGCTCGGCGCGGCTGCAGGCGTGCTACGCGCTCTTTCGGCGAGAGGCGGCGGCGCTGTGCGCGCAGGCTGAGGGGGGGTCGGGCGGCGAAGCGGGCGGCGCCCGTGCGGTGGCTGCGCTGGAGGCTGCGGCTCGCGGCGCGCTCGAGCGGGCACACGTCGTCGTGTTTGAGCTGCCGGACGGGGTGGCGGCCGAGAGTATGTACGAGCTGTTTGCGCAGCGCGAGCGGGCGCTGGGGTCGCTCTTTTGCACCTTCAGCGGCGTGGCGATGGGGGAGGCGGACTTGGTTCGCAACCTGCTGCTGGCGCACGTCGCAGACGAGGAGGCGCGCACAACTGTTGAAGCTGGTTCAGAGAGTCGTCCATGTGGTCGACTGGGCGCCTCTATGTCCTCACCCTCCCGGACCCCGTCCGCGAGCCTCCTCCCGCGCCCTCCCCGCAGGCGCGCGTTGAGGCGTACGACACCCTCTGGCTGCCGCTCGAGCGGAGGCACGGCGACGGACGGCCGGACAGGCTCGAGGCCTTTCTGAGACACTTCCTCGACCAGCAGCTCGACCAGCAGCACGCCGCGCCCGCCGCCGCCGTCGCGCCCGCCACTCTGGACCAGTCCTCCGTCTCCTCGTCGGTGGCGGCGGACGCGGCCCGCGCGGCGGCGGGAGGCACGACCTTCGACCGTTTCGCCGCCCTCCTCGCCTCGCTCGGGGGGAACCGAGGCGGCTCCCTCTACTCGGCCGGCGACGGGGCGGCGCTTGTCGAGGGCGGCGAGGAGGCGGCGGCGGCGGCGGCTGTCGGGCTGCTGCGCAGAATGCTCGCGACGCCCGCGCAAGGGCTGCCGCCGCCGCCGCAAGACAGTACTGCCTGATTATACCTTAGACAACGGAACCCGGTGCAGTGAGAGTGTGTGTCCGCGTCCAGGGCGTTCTAGCATCTAGGTGCGTGTCTGCGGCTCGCGGGTGACGGCGTGGGCGGGTAACCTTCTTATTCCTAAGAAAGAAATGAGAAAGCACGCAATAGCGCAAGTGAAGGCGCGTAGCCGTACACGCCGTCGCGTAGCCCGTACCCGTACGCGGTACGGGTACGATTGCCGAAAATAATATTAAATATGGTGTCTAGTGTCGAGCGGTGTGGTTTACCGCTGCCTCAGGGCGAGGAGGATCATCCCTCTGCACTATGCACCGCGTGTTCTTTTCGTACTGAGTACATTTTAGCTCACACTACCCCTCTCGCCACAGTCAGACGACGAGGAGGCGAGAGGCACAAAGCCACGATCGCTCCCGGCCGTCTCTGTTCTGATGCCGACGGTCGGAGATTGCCTTGTGTGAGTCGATCGCACTTGAGAGAGGCACGGCCCATTGTACTTCTTCTCTGTTTTATCACAATACACAAGTGTGTCAAACTCACTCAACGCAGTAGCCAACACACTTCGGAGCTCTCACGTAATCACACACTCACTATGTGCACCAATGAACAGGGCGAGAGAGCGTGTCCTGCGACAGCTTTTGTCGGGTGCCTAGGCTCTCTCAAACATGGCTCCGCAGCCATCGGGTGGGGTTTTGCTGAGCTTGACCTTGATGTTCCTTGCTGAGACGGTGCATGTCTGTGCCGTCGACTTTGACGGACAGCCCCCCGGGCCGTATTTCCCAGGGACAGCTGCCCAGATGTCGCTCCGGAGCTGGAATTTGCACTCACCCTGCACGCATCCGACTGTGTTGTACCAGTCGCTGTACGTTGTGGAGGACACGTACTCCTCACACGTGCCCTTCGATGTCTGATCGCACACACCCATCGTGGCCTTGCCGCTGCTGCCGAGAGTTTGATCGACAGTGAGCGTGTAGTGGAGCTGCATGCCCGTCGCCGGGTACTGCTGTTGAAAGCAAATCGAGTCGCCGTGCTGGTTCGGGGCACAGGTGTTTTCTCCGAGGCTAGTCGCCACAGTGTTTTTGCCGCTGTTCATGCACGTTTCGACGAAATCAATCTCGCCAGACGCGCCTTGATTGCAAATTGGTGCGGACCCCCTGTTGTCGCACCAATTTGGCGGGGTCGGGGTGATCCACAGCGGGGCAACCCACGTTTCATCGCAGTCGTCGATCGCAATGTCCGCCTCAATCGAAACGAGTTCCTTGAGCGGGAAATCGCAGCTCCTCACCGCCTCGCACGCTGGTTGATCGCCCTTTGCTAGCACGATTGAGGTGGGATCGCCGGAGCACTGTTGGTATGTCGATGGGTTGGGAGTTGGCGCCTGGCAGTTGTTGTGCACCTCGCCGTCCTCCAATGGCTTCCAAGCAGAGGTGAGCTGGTTGAATGGCTCAATGCTGTTGCCCTCGCAGAGCTCCACCGATGGGGAAGGCGAGGGCGAGGGTGAGGGTGAGGGCTCCATGCAGTAGCACGAGGACGAGATTTGGTAGTTCTTTTCAAGTCCGGAGCAGCACTTGTCGCCCTCGATGTTGCACGCTCCCAACTTCGGAATGCAATGGGCAGGTTCGGGGCCGTGCTCCATGCTGCACACGGCAAGGTTAGGGCCGATGCACTGCTCTTCGTTGTCACCGCTGCAGACGTCGCTGTGGATGTTGTAGCAGCACTTCCCTTTTTCGAACTGCGCGTCGGGACAGGTGCTGCACGTGCTCGGGCAGGCACAGGCAGAGCAACGCCCGCCGAGGAGTCGAGATCGACCACACGGTTCTCCTGCCCGTCAGGTACGATGATGGGCAGAGCGTTTGCGACCCCAGCGCCGACGGCGATCAGCATCAGCTTTGAGAAGACCGGCATGGTTAGATCCTGCGGAGACAGTGGGAGACACGGTGAGGCAGGCGCGATCGATGGTGACAGAGGGCGCATGGTGGCAGACAATGGCAGACGACGCGGCGTGGCAGGGACAGTGGGAGGCGAGGCGCGCGCTGGCGGAGAAGGGCGCGCAGTGGCGGTCAGTGGCAGACGGCGTGGCGTGGCAGGCCTGGGCTGGCAGCTCACGATGGATGTGCGATGTGAGAGGTCCTGCCGATTTTCAGCGGCTCCTTGCAGGTCGCAGTTTCGTACGTCCAAGCAAGTCCAGGTTCAGAGGGCGTTGTCATGAACGCGTCCTCCCGCCTGCAAGGTACCGGTATGATTAGATTATGTTGCTGGCAAGACAGAGAGAGAGAGATTTTTAGCAATACCAAACAACTCTAACACTCACACGTCATTTGGGGCCTGGAGCCCTGTTCACGCAGAGAGCTCGGACAACATCACAGCGGCTGCACCAAACGCGCCCCCCTGCCCCACCCCCCACCCGTGTGTCAACGTGTCAAGTGTCCCAAGTGCCAAGACGCAAGACCAAGAGCCGGGGCGTCCAGGGACAGACGTGTCGTCGTGGGAGGGGTGTGTCGAGAGTGGTGTCAGGAGTGTCGAGCGGTGTGGTTCATTGCTGCCTCAACAGGGAGGAGATCATCCCTCTCGCTCTGCTATAGCACGTGTTCTTTTCGTACTGAGTACATATAGCTCCTACCCCTCGCCACAGACGAGGCACAATCGCTCCGCCGTCTCTGTTTCGCTCGCGTCTCCCTTGAGCATTGGCGTCTCGCCGTCGCCCTTTGCGTCCGGCTTCGCCGGCAACGGCGGCAAGTGGCTCTCCCACTCCATGCCGAGCGACCAGCGCAGGACGATGTCGCAAGCCTGCCGGCTCAGACCCTCGTTATATTCGCCACACCGCGCAATCTGGATGCAGCCCGGGCAACCGCCCGGGCGGCCGCAGTCGCACGCCAGCAGTCGGCGGTGCGCGGCCGCCAGCAGGTCGCCCAGCTTCGGGCCGAGCTCGGCGGCGATGCCTGCGGCGGCGGTGAGTGCGCCTCCCGTCACAGCCGCGGCGGGGTGGGCGGAGTTTGTGCGCTTCGCTGCCTGCGCCGCCAGAAATGCGCTCAAAGAGGAGGAGCCGCTCGGCGTGCTCGTCGCCCTTCCGGCGCGTGCACTGGCAGCCGAGGTCGAAGACGCTGCACGAGACGGCGAGCGGGGCGAGCGAGAGCAGGAGGTGCTCTGCCGCGTGCAGGCCGCCGCGCGCAAACGCGTCCCCGCGCTCCTCGAGGGCGTCCCGCAGCGCGCTCGGCGGGTCGAGCCAGAGGCCGCACCTACGGCGAGGTCCCGACAAGGCTCAGGGAGGTGTAGAGGAGGTTTGCGGGTCGAGCGTGAGGCCGCACGTGTCGAAGGAGTGCGGCTTCATTGGCTGGTCGAGCTCGCATTTGTCCAGCAGCTTGCCAGTCAGCTTTGCTTTCTGGCGGTAGCCGTACACGGACTTGCTCACTCGCATCGGGCCGAAGTGGACGGCGGAGGCGGGGACGGTGGTGGTGGCTGGGGCGGCGGGGGCGGCGGGGGCGGCGGGCTGGGTGGGGGCGGCGAGGGCGGCGGGGGAGACGGAGGCGGCGGGCGGGGTGGGTGTGGCGAGGGCGGCGGTGGCGAGGGCAGCGGTGGCGAGGGCGGTGGAGGGTGGGGCGGCGACGGGCTCGGAGGCGGGGACGACGGCGGGGGCGGGTTCGGCGGCGGCGGGCTGGCTGGTGCGGCCGGCTGGCTGCAGCGTGCGCGTGATGCCCATGATTGCGACGCGAGTGTGGTCGCGGGGCTCGGTGTAGTAGCTTGTGTCCTCGCGCCTGACGCGGACGAGTCCGGCGTCGAGGTCGCAGTCCGACACGAGGTACGAGGCGCCGCAGTGGAGAAAGACGGCGCCCGAGTAGAGGCGGAGCTGCGCCGCGGCCGCCTCCATCGTCTCGAGCTCGACAGACATCGCCCCCTCGGTCACGTCCACCACACGAACCTTCTCCCGACAGATCTCGCGCAGCGAGATGCGCCGCACAGCCGCCGCACCCAGCTCAGAGCACTCGAGCCGCGGGTTGTGCCTGCTGCCCACCATTTTCAGCTCGCGCGCCTTGATCGCAGCCGTCGCGGGCTCCTTCCACTCCCCCCACGTGCAGAGCTCCGGCTCCGTCTCGGCGTCTCCCGGCGGCGGCGGCAGGCGGAGCGGCTGCTCTTGCGCGGCGGCGAGGAGGTGGAGCTGGAGAAGCTCGGCGTTGAGAGGGTTGGCCGCGGCCGCCTCGATGGGGCGCGCGAGGAGGGCGGCGGGGTGCGAGGCGAAGTACAGCTCGAGCGGGCTGTCCTGCGCGAGCACGAGCGTGAGGGAGGGGCGGCCGGTGCGGCCCGCCCGCCCCGCCTGCTGCCAGAGCGACGCCATCGTCGCGGGGAGGCCGACGTGCAGCGTCGCGTCGATGCTGCCGACGTCGACGCCGAGCTCGAGCGCCGAGGTGGAGACGACGGCGTGCAGCTCGCCTCCAAACAGCCTCTTCTGCGGCGCGAGGTGTGCGAGGGAGGTGGGTGGGGGGTGGGGTGGGGTGGGGTGGGGGGCAGAGGGCGGCCCGAGAGGCGCGGGCTCGCCTCGATGGCGCGCCGCTTCTGCGCCGTGTATCCGGCGCGGTAGACGCCGACCTTGTCGCGGAGCGGCTCGCCGACCAGCTCTCGAGTGGCCGTCACGAGCAGCTCTGCGACCGAGCGGGTGAGCACAAAGGCGATCGTGCGGACGCCGTGCCGGACAAGGTGGGCGAGCAAGCGAGCCGCGTCAGAGAGGCACGAGACGCGCCTCTTCGCGCCGCCCGGCGCCATGCGCTCGTGCCACTCCATCGCCGCCGACGGCGGCAGCTCCTTTGGCAGCCAGACGGCGAGGGTGCGCTCTCCTGCCGGCCCGCCGTCCTGAGCGGCAGCGAGGGAGGAGGGAGGCCGCGCTCAAGGAAGCGAAGGTGTGCGTGTGTGTGTGTGTGCGCGCGCGCGTGCGTGCGTGCGCGCGGGCGTGCGTGCGGCCCAGCCTGCTCTGCCCCGACCAGAGCGAGCCCCTCCTCCGCGAGTCCGAGCAGCCGGGCGGCGTGCTGCAAAGGGTTGGCGATGGTCGCCGAGCAGCAGACGAAGCGAGGGCGCGAGCCGTACTTGGCGCAGATCCGCCGCAACCGCCGCAGCACGAGGCCGACGTGTGAGCCGAAGACGCCGTGGTACGCGTGCGCCTCGTCCACGACGACCAGCTTCAGCTGGCGCAGCACGCTCGCCCACTCTGCGTGCTGCGGCAGGACGGAGGCGTGCAGCATGTCCGGGTTCGTCAAGAAGGCGTGCGCGCGCTGCCGCAGCTGCGGCCGGTCGACCTGGGCCGTGTCGCCGTCGTACGAGGCGGCGAGGAAGTGGCTGCAGCCCGCCGCCTCGGCCAGCGCCTCGAGGGAGCGCAGCTGGTCCTGAGCGAGCGCCTGGAGCGGACAAGTCACCGGCGTGTCACAGTCGGGGTCTGGACCGGTGTCGGTGCCGCGCGAGCGCCTTTGTCGGGAAGAGGAGCAGCGCGCGGGCGCGCGCGTCGTCGAGCACCGCCTGCACGGTCGGCGCGGCGTAGACGAGCGACTTTCCGCTCCCGGTCGCCTGCCGCGCGTCCGGGAGGGCACGCGAGGTGAGGTTGGCCGGTGCAGAAGGGACCGTGCTCGCCGAGTGCAGCCGTGTGCCGTGCAGAGGACGACATGCTCTCCCGCCGACAGCGCGCGCAGGGCGGCGTCTTGGTGGCTGTAGAGCTGCGCGATTCCGCGCGCGGAGACGGCGCCGCGGAGCGACTCCGACAGCGGCGAGCTCTCGAGCGGCACCAGCCTCGCGCTGCGCGCAGCCCGCCGGTCGCAGCACATCAGCTGACCGCTGTACTCTGGCTGGGAGCGGATCCAGTCGCAAAAGGTGGCGGCGCTCGGGGCCAGGATGTCGGTGGTGAGCGGCGGGAGCGGCGCACTCGCCGCAGACGGGTCGGCAGGCTCCGGCAGGGCGACCGGCGCCGCTGAGGTGCAAAGCTCTGGCGGAGCCCTGGGTTTGGTCGCGGCGGCGAATGCATTCGCCGCCTCGCGAAATGAGCGCGCGTGCTTTTCCATGACCTTGGGTGGGATCTTCACGGCTGACCCGCCGCGTCCAAAACTCGTGCGCCGCCGCTTGTTGTCGGCCGCGCCACACGATGACACCGCGGCGCGGACATTCGGACCGATCTGGCACACCACACGCGGGTCTGGATTGTCGTTCTCGTCCTCCAGCGCGATGACGTCGCCGCGTAGGCTCGCGAGGATGCGCATCGTCGCCACGTCGCACGGCAGGCCGCAAAGAGACTCGATCACCGGCCGCATCTGGCTCAGCAAAGTGTTCTCTCTCCCCTGCAAGAGAGAGCTTGCCTGCAGGACTGCGACGAAGAGCCGCTCAGCCTTGGTCAGCCAGCCAGCCCACACGTCGTCGCTCATCGCTGTCGGCACACCTCGCGCCCGCAGCGATGCAGAAGCGGAGACCAACAAAATAACGCGCGGCCCCTCAAGCGGAGCTGGGAATAGGACCGCCGCAAGCGGCGTGGAAGGAGCGGTTGAGCATCCCTCCGGGGGCCCCTCTGCGCCGGGGAGGCGTTCTTGGAGGCTAGGACGCAAGCGTCCGTCGCCCTTTTCAAACTCGGGGCCCACTCCGCTACATGTACGCTCCGACCCGAATTTGGAGGGCAGCCTAAAAGTTTAAGGTGTTGCTGCGCAAAAGGGGTCGGACACAGGGCGCAGCTCATGCTAAGAGCTAGAAGGGGAGCTAGAGAGAACGACTACCCTGTCCCGTTATTGCGTACACCAGCACCACAAAGCTCTCTCTCTCCTGTCCTCACTCAGGGGGGTCACAACTACCGAGTCCCTCGACTAGCTGCCACGTTGCCGACCGAGAGCGGATCTCCTCCTGCTCCGCAAGGAGGGTGGCCAAGGCTAAAGTCACCGAGGGCCTCGACTATAGTCTGTCTCTCACATGACAAGCAAGCGATCCCACGACAGCGACAAAACAAACCTGGCAACCCTGTCTGCACGTCTCGCGCGCGCGTGAACAGGGCTCCAGGCCCCAAATGACGTGTGAGTGTTAGATTTGTTTGGTATTGCTAAAAATCTCTCTCTCGACAGCGAGTGTGGGGACTACATGATCCGTACGTGAAGGGTGGCGGGGCCCGTCCGCAGAGCTAGGCGGCGCGGGCACCCTCCACTGGGGCCGAGGAGAAGAGGCCGTTTGCCGCTTGCTTGTTCTTGATCCAGTTAGTTGGAGAGAGAGAGAGAGTTAGTTTGTTGTTTGTCCAGTTAGTTGGTGCGCATCTTGCGCGCCTGCTTGTTGATGTTTTCGGCGTCGCCCGCCACCGCCGCCATGCGTGTGGGGTGGGTGGGGTGGACGACGAAGGAGGAGGCGCTCGCCGAGGAGGAAAACAATTCTGCGGAGAGAAAATGTAACTGCGGTGTGTAAGCGTAATGGACGCGACCACCTTGACAAGATGAAGCACTACAGCCAGGTTGAGTCGGATGCGCGAGAAAGGATGCTACACTACGAGGTGCTTAACGCAACGACTGCTAGCTTGCAGCAGCTACAGTCAAGCGTCGTCGACATCCTGCTCCCGCGAGTCGCTCAAGGCGAACTAGCGCTATCCACACTGCCGCGTGGTGCGTGCGAGCTCTCGAGGCAGGGAGATACCGCGTGTTTCCAGAGCGCAGGTTGGCCGACGACCGACTACGTCGATGACGCGTCCTGCATCTTGCGTGGCGTGCCAAGCACTCCGCTGCGCGTGGAGGGCTTTCAGACCGAGGCGTCTCCACAGACAGACTACCTCGTCGTCGACTATGGTAAATTCTTTTATGGAACCAGCGGGCCCGTGGGCGTCATCCCTCGAGAAGGCGTCCTTCGGTGGCGCAGCGATAATGCCAACACTGCACAGGGTTTCAGGGTCTGCTTTGCAATGTCTCAGCCTCCGCCGCTGTCCCCACCGCCTCCGCCTCTGCCCTCGCCGCCGCCGCCGCCGCCGCCGCCGCCGCCGCCGCCGCAGTCGCCGCTATCGCCGCCGCCGCCGCCTCCTCGCTCACTGCCGCCGCCGCCACCTCCATTGTCGCCTCCGCCGAGCCCTCCCCGGCCTCCTCTATCGCCCTCGCCGTTGCCGCTGCCGCCGCCGCTGCTGCCGCCGCCGCCGCTGACCCCCGTCCTGAACCCGACGTGGCCTCGCCGGCCGCTGCCTCCACTGGTTCGTCCGCCGGCTCCGCCTTCGCCCCCGCCCCTCAACGCAACGAGACGAGCGCCATCAGTGGTCGACGGCGCAGACTACAAGCAGATCGCGCTTCACCTTGCTGTCGCCTGCGCCGTCCTGCTCATCCTCCTCGTCGCCACCTGCTTACGCCTTGGTGTGCGCCTGCGCGTCGTCACGTCCAAGACGCGAGCCGTGCCCGGTCGTGAGGTCTCCACCGTGCTGGCCGCCGGGCTCGCTATCAGCGGGCAGGACCCGTTCCCCGGGGGCGGCAGCCGTCCCGAGAGTCCAAGCCGTGGTCGCGTGCCCCACCCCCCGCCCCCCTCGGGACCCGACCTCGAGGCTATGGAAGAGGCCACTATATGTCCGGTGGTCGAGGCCACTCTATGTCCCGAGGCGAAGTCGCCAAGCCCCGACTGGCTCTACGACCCGGACCTTCCCGCCGGCCCGGGAGCACACGATGACGCGCGGCCCGAGTGCCTTGCAGCAAGGCGCGGTCCAAATCGGAGGAGCGCAGCGCTTGCACGCTCTCGACTCTGCCCAATCTGTGGAATCTCGCACGAGGCCCCACTGCCGACGGCCCGTATGCGAGCGGCGCAGCTCCGGGTATAGATAGTGCGCGCGCAGCGATCCCCGCGGGCGGGCGCGACGTGAGCTAACCCGGGCCCTCCGCGACGTGACCAACCATGTCAGAGCCCAAGGCACATAATTAGCCACATACAGGCCACATAGAGCCGTATTAGTGTGTGTGCGCGGTGTACACCCTGTGGTGACCCGTGGGGCGCACGTTGGAAGGCGTTGCTCGCGATTGCTTGAGAGTGTTGTTTCTATTTTCCCCATGTGTGATTGTCAGCCCGGCGGAACTCCCGCGCCGTCTCCGCAACCTCAGTCGTCAATGGAGGTCAAGCCCAAGGCGGCGGGACGGGACGGATTCCCACGACACAGAGACGGTGTGCGTGTCCGCTCGAATATCGCGGTGTCGGTCGGCAACGGCATATATGCTGCAGAATCACGACGCGAGGTGTCTTGGTGTGTGCAGCTCTTGCCTCTTGATTCTATTTTTCTTCTATCTACGAGCGATCAGGAAAACAACACAGTCAAGTTGCGCAACACGTGTGTGCGATCAGAGTGAAACGGATCTCATCCCCTATTCCTGGCGCGCCCTGCGCAGAGGCCCTGCGCGCCCTGTGCAGCACGTCGTGGCATCATTGTCTCCTCGAGCCTCCTGCCGCCATGCAGTACGCCTTTCACCTCGCACACTGCAATGCCACGGCCATGCGGCAGCCGCTCCCCGCCGAGTATCGCGCCCTATGCGCTAGCGCTGGCGGTCGCTCCGCCGGGCGAGAGACTGGCCGCACCAGCCTCCCGGGGCACGAGTAGCAGCGGCCTCACTCCCCGGCTGGCCCCGGCTCGTGGTGTGCCTCCATCTCCATCTCCATCAAGCTCTCTGTGCCCGGCAGCGGAGGAGCGTCCTCGTCCTCGTCGGCGCCCATCGGCGCCAGGGAGGAGGGCGGCTCCCCCGGGTAGCAGCTGCCCTGCCCGTCCGCATCGGACAGGCCCGAGGCGCTGCCCGCACCAGCCGCGAGGCCAAGCGGGCCGGCGCCCGCGGCGGAGGACGCCAGCTGGTCGCCCATCCCCATCGGGTCCATCGGACCCGACGCGTCCATCATCGCGTCCAACGCGCCCGGCGGTGCGCCTCCCAGCGCGCCCGCGCCCGCCGGCCCCGCGCCAGCCAGGAGGGCGGCGGGCTGTGGCATCCCCTGCGGCGGCATGCTGCCCGCCGGCGGCATCGGCACCGGCGGCGCAACCTCGTCGTGCGGCCGCTTGCGCGGGGCGGAGGCGCCGGGGCTGACGCGGCCCGTGGCGGGCGGCTGCGACGGGTGCGGCCCAACCTTGTGTCCGAGGTCTGCGGCGAGCCAGCTCGGGATGTGGAAGCGAAGGGTCTGGCCCGGCCTGGCGCCCGGAGGGACCGAGACCTAGCAGCAGCGGGAGGCGTCAGCCTGCCCGCGTGGGGGCCTGTGCGGGAGGCGGAGGGGCGGGCCGCGCCTCGACGAGGACTCCGCTCGGGGACGGCCAGCAGAGCGGCTGCGCCTCGCGGTGGGCGTCGGGGATGATGCACTCGATGGCGAGGACCTGGTTCATGTCCGCCGACGCGGGCACGAAGTTCGCCGCCCCCGGCGGGATGTGCTGCTTCCCGTCCGCAGACTCGCTCGCCGCGTGCCCGTTTGCCCGCGAGCCGCCGTTCTCGGTCAGCTTGAGCAGCCGCTCGTACCGGTTGCGCAGCGCGTCGTGCGTCCGGTTGGGTATCGACTCGGCGATGATCTTCCACTTGCGGCCGTGCACGCTCACCAGCTGCATGATCTGCGCGTCCTCCTGCTCCGTCCACGCCGGCCCGTTCCGCGAGACGCCGCCCTGCCCCTTTGGCTTGCGCGACGACGACCCCGACGCGAGCGACTTCTTCTCCTCGGGCGAGATGGGCTCCGCGGCGGCGGGCGGGTCCGGCGCGGGCACCGGCGGCGTGGGCGTCGGGTGCTCGGGCGGAGGCTGCGCGGGCGGCTGTGGCGGCTGCGGGGGACCCTGTGGTGGGGCGTGCGGCCCCGCCGTTTGCCCCGGCGGCGGCGCGTGCTGCTGCATCGGTGGCACCTGCGGCAATGCCACCCTAGGCTCCGCGTGTATCGCGGGAAACCCCATCCCCGGCGGCAGCTGCGGCTTGCTCCTCGGAGCGGCAGCCTGGGGCGGGGCCGTCGGCTCAGGCGGTGCACCCGGCGCGGGCGGCTCGTCGGGCGGCTCCGGCTTGGTGAGCGACGGCGGCGGGCCGACGGGTGAGACTCCTGTCTGGATCGTCGCCGCGAGGCTCGCCGCCATCATGTCGATGTTCCCCGGCCGGGGCGGGGCGCTCATGGTGACGCTGCCGGTCACTAGAGTCAGAGTAGAGAGTCACCCTGCCCCCCAGCACAAACCATTTTCTTTTGCTCGCCTGAGGGCCAGGCGCCGATTTCCGATTTTACCCGTCCGTCCAAAGTACAACAAAACTGCCTACTCGCCCAAGTACTCGCTCTCTTTTATGTCCCACCATGCAGAGCGCATCTCTCTCTCTGTTGTGCGAGGCGTGAACCGCGCCATTCGCTCTCTCTCTCTCACCTGGCAACCCTGTCTGCACGTCTCGCGCGCGCGTGAAGAGGGCTCCAGGCCCCAAATGATGTGTGAGTGTTAGAGTTGTTTGGTATTGCGTCCCGGCGGTCCCGCAGCTCGCGCACATCTCCCTCTTAAGGTCATTCACGGGTGTCCGCGGCCCACTGTGCCCGCTGGTAGGACAATGACCGCCGCAAACCCTGTGGTGAGCTCCATATGATCTCGGATATTTTTTGTAGGTACCGTAATATTAAAAAACTACTTTGTCTTCGAGTGAAAAGTAGTCCGAGAAAGCCCGCGGCCGCAGTGAATTAAAAGGCGCGGTTTTCGAGGGGGAATCTGGAGAATCTGGGAATCGGCTCACCACGGATCCCCACCTCATCGAAAAACTTTTCACTCCAAGACAAAGTACTTTTTTAAGGTGCTCTACAAGCTAGGCACAAAAGATATGGCATTGCAGGCCATTTAGGGCCCCTAGGCGAATCACACCAAAGATCCTCGGGAATGGGTGACGGCCGTGCACAAGCTAGACCACCCCTTGCTCTTCTTGAGCTTGGCGGAGACCACAGAGGGCCTCGTCATCTACGGCCACCAGGACTACATGCACTTGGCGTGGCGCTTGCGCGTGCAGCTACTGAGCCCAGCGAGAATCTGGGACTTTGGCGGCTACCACACCCCGCAAGGCATCGCCCGCCGCCGCCTGCAACAGCGTCCGTTCCCCCCTCTGCACATTAGTCCATTCCGACTCACCCGCCCCCACCCCTTCCCTTCACTCAGGTGCCGACGAGGCGTTGCGCTCCTTTGCCACCGCCGCCCACCTCGACAGCATGCGGGACCCCAAGGACTTCAAGATGTTCAACGGCAAGGACCTCGACCCGCACAACAAGCAGCACTGGCCCGGCGTGCTCAAGATCTTCAGCAAGAAGACTGCTGACGAGCTGAAGCGGCGGATTGACGCCGGCGAGACTCACCTCAATGCCACCTTTGCCGTCGTGAGCGTCTTCAGCACGTACCTTTCCTCGTGGCTCGATCGCGGGCGCGAGCCGCTGGACGTCATCGAGGACGCCGCCTTGGTGCTGGGCTTTGTGCTGCACTGGCGCCGGCACGTGACCTCCACCCGAGGCCTCACTCTCGAGGCCAACTTTCTGACCCGCGAGACCTTCCTTGACATTGTGACGTCGTGCCATGGCTGCATTTTGCGATTCATTCAGTTCCGTGACAACTTTGGTGGCCGGTTCAAGCCGGACGGGCCGCGCTTCACGTCGGCCTTCTCTGAGTACTTCTTCCAGTACGGGCGGATGGCGCAGACAAACTCCCCGGTGGTGTCGGTGATGGGCTGGGCGCGGCATCTCGATCACTATCTGTACCAACAGCATCTGGAGGCTGCTCAGCCGGGGTTGAAGATCCCGGCCTCGTGCCGCGGCATCCCGCACTCGATTGAGCGGATCAAGATCGACACCCCGCCGCCAGGCTGGTTCCCTACGAACCCTCAGATGATTGCCGCCCTCGACAGGGGCCTAGCTCGTGCGATTGAGCTCCTTCAATCCTGTGGAGTCCGCGCCAACCTCTGTGCGCGGACCGGCTTCTTCAAGCAGCCGTGCTTGCACTTTCCTCTGGCTGACACCTATGTCCAGGGTGGCGCGTCGCTGGAGGAGCCGGGAGAGAAGGAGGATGATCCAAACGGCACACCCGATGCTGAGCCGGCCGAGCTGACCGCCATGGGCGCACAGGATGCTGCAGATGCCGAGGCCGTGCTGAACCAGCTGATGCGGAACGGGGCCAACGTGGCGCCTCCAACCGGCGGCGAGGAGGGCAGCAGCGCAGAGTTTTTTGAGGAGATCTGTAAACTGCTGGCAGATTTCAACGTCTCCATCCAGGAGGAGTCAAAGGATCGCAAGCTCCGCTTCCACGTCAAGCGGCTCATCAAATCCCATCAGCAGCGGGGCGAGGATGTGGATGAGGAGCTCGACTTCTACATGGATGATGATGACGGTGACCACGCCCTTGCCCGCCTGTCACACACACACATAAGACGTGCATCCTCATCTCTCCCTCTTCTCTTTCTCTTCGCAGTTGCGGTGCTCTTCACCATGGAGGACAGCTCCAAGGTCTTTGCCATCGGCAACATTGAGCAGGTGGCCGTCGCCGACGGCACGGTAGACGCGCGCCGCGCCACTGGCAGCTCCAGCGCAGAGTACCTGCGCCAGCTCTCCATGAGTCAGCGCAGCAATGGGGTCTTCATCAACGACCCCAAGGGCCTCTTTTTCCTCCGGTGGTACCGTGAGGTGAAGGGTGACGGGACCCCCCCAGACGGCCCGCGCTACCAGAACAGAGCGTGCAAGTACTACAAGCTGACGAGCGACAACGATGGGGAGGCCTTCCGCTGGACCAGCAACTACCAGATCATCAGCAAGGTGTACCTGAAGAAGCACTCCACCCTGCCTCTCTGCTATTCTCTCAGTGCGGCAGACAAGAAGATGGTGACGTCCACCATGAAAAAGATGGTGGGACCGGAGGCAGAGTAGAGGCTAGAGTATGTGTAGTAGAGTCCTGCTAGTCTCCTCTTGATAGTGTCATAAGTGTGGCTGGTGTGTGTCAGAGCCTGACAGCACCCCGACAGCACCACCTGACAGCACCTGACAGCAACAGCCCACCGTCTGACAGCAGCAGCAGCCTGACAGCTCTGACAGCTCTGACAGCGTCTGACAGCAACACCCGACAGCTCTGACAGCACCCGACAGCTACAGATCCCCTCGCCTGTCAGACACGCACCCGACAGCACCCGACAGCACTGACAGCACCTGACAGCTGGTCTGACAGAGGCACCTGACAGTGCCTGACAGCTGCCCGACAGCCCGACAGACCACCTGACAGCACCTGACAGCCTGACAGCCAGGGCTCAGGCGGCGCAGCCGCCGCGCGCGGCGCAGCCGCCGCGTGCGGCGCAGCCGCCGCCGCGCGTGCCGCCTCGATCGTCTTGGCCGTGAGCGCGTTGACGCGCGCCTGCGCCACCTCGAGCTTCTCGATGAGCTGCAGCAGCGGCTCGGCGGGCATGAGCGACTTGCGCGCCTCCTTGACCGCGCACGTGTAGTACCCGAGCGCCTGGACGGCCGACTCGAGCGCCTCGTGCGCCTCGTCGACGTTGAACGGCGCCTCGCCGCGCCTCAGCCGCTCCGCCGCGCGCGTGAGCTGCTCCTCGCGCAGCAGCCCGGGCTCGAGCAGCTGCACGCCGAGCAGCTGGTGCGCGCGCTCGAGGCCCGCCCATTCCGGGGCGTGGTAACCAACCTCGCTCGGTGACGAGCCGGACGGATAGCGCAAACCGTCGAGCGCCGCAGCCGTGGTATAGCCGCCCGACACTGGCGCGCCGCCAGGCGCCGGCTGCCGCTGTGCCGCCGCGAGCGCCGTGCGGCCGAAGACGCTGGGCATCGTGCGCTCGAGAAAGCCCGGGCTCGTCGCGGTGTTGGCCTCCGCCGTCGCTGCAGGCGCTGCCGCCGCCGCTGCAGGTGCCGCGGCCGCCCTGTCTGCTGCTGCGGCTTGCCGCGCCTTCCTCGCCGCCTCAGCACGCTCGGCCTTGAAGTTGGGGTCCTCTCGACACTTCTTCTCGTACCAGGTTTCGCCGGAACCCGCGGCTGCCTTGCCCTTGCCGCGCCTGGACATCTTGTCCGACAACACGCCCGCAACACGGCCCAACACGCCACCAACACGCGTCAACACGGCTCCAACACGGCCAACACGGCAACACCAGCCAAACAGCGCCTTCCCCGAAAAAAGAAGAGAGAAATGGCCGGGAAATCCGATTGAGTCCCGCCAAGTGCAGAGACCACACGACAGCCCATGACGACCTCCCCTCGCTCCGTCTTGCTCGACATGGAGGTGACACCCAGCACAGTGGAGGTCATGCACGCAAAGTGCGAGACTGCAAGGCCGCCGAGAGCACCGCAGGATGGACCTCTCCTCCTCGCCCTCTCCGACCTCGCCAAGGTGCTTCCCGTTCCGTTGCCCGACCGCGAGGCGAAGGAGGCCCGCCGCACCGCCATCCTGCAGATGGTCATTCTGACGCTCTGTGGCATGGCCTACCAAGCAGGCCTGGGCATGTGCATGCCATTCTACGCTCAATTCGCTCAGCAGCTTGACCTTGGCGAGGCTGCGGGCGGCTTTGTCATCGCGGCGCCCTGTGTGGCGCGCGTAGCGCTCAATCTCAGCATTGGTTCGCTCGTGGACGACGTGGGACGCAAGCCGCTGCTAATCATCGGCAGCGCGGTGCTATCCGTCGGCGCCTTTTGCACCGCCGCTGCCTCCTCACTCGGGGGCATGCTCTTTGGAAGGTTGTGCGTCGGTGTGGGGGGCGCAGCTTCAGACATTGCTGCGCAGGCCTGGCGGCTCGACATCGTCTCTCACTGGCCGTCGTCGCGCGGAGCGCTTCTCGGCTGGAACCAGGCGCTGGTGACGCTGGCGTATGCCGCCGGACCTGTAGTTGGAGGCCGCCTTGCGCTGCAGAGCGGGATTCGCCAGCCCTTTTTCGTATTTGCCTACATTTGTGGCATCTGTGCGCCATTGTACGCCCTGATGCCGACGGCGCCCTCTTCCTCCATTCCGTCGACGAGCAGCACCGTCAATGTCGTCTGCGGTCTGGGTGGTGCGCAGCACGGACCACTGCGCGCGGTGCTCAGCGACCCGCGGCAGCGGGGCCTGCTGCTGCTGCGCTACGCACTCGCTGCCGGCTGGGCCGCCTGGATGACTGTGCTGCCCTCTATAATGGCCAGCCACTTTGGGGTGGACTCGTCTGAGATTGGGCTGATGCTCTCCGTGATGACTCTGTTTGGCTTCGTGTCTTCTCCGCTGAGCGGCGCGCTGGCAGACCGGCTCGGCCATATCACGGTTGCCCGAGCCGGAGCCTTGGCCAGCGCGTGTGCGTTCGGCTTGCTGCCTTGCGCCGCGCTGCCGTGCTTCTTGCTCCTGCTCGCGGTGTGGGAGGCTGGCACGGCGGCGCTGGGCGCCGGCACTAGCGCCAGTGCCGCCGAGCTGACTCGACTAGAGTTGCGAGGTGCACAGAGCAGCCTGGTCGGCCAGGTGCAGGACGCCACGTTTGTGCTCGTGCCGTCGGCGCTCGGGATGCTCCTGGCGCGGTTCGGCAGCGAGGCGGCGCTCTGTGTCAACACCGGGATGCAGCTCTGCGCGATTGCCGCGTCGGCGACGCTGACGAGACGCGCCGCGTTGGAAGCGAGGGACCTGAGGGACAAGCACGCGCGAGGCGTGTAGGCGTTAGGCTCGACGAGTCACTCCAGCAAGGGCAGCTTCGTGAGGAGTGAGTGAGAGAGAGAGAGAGAGAGAGAGAGAGAGAGAGAGAGAGAGAGAGAGAGAGAGAGAGAAAGAGAGAGAGAGAGAGAGGAGAGAGAGAAAGCGCCCATTTGTATTACACTGAAAGGTCAAAGAGGAGGAAGCCGCCTCGACGACGAGCGTAGAGCGCTGGTCGGATTCACTCTCGCCGCGGGGGCAGGCGGAGTTCGTTCGCCGGACCCGCCGGAACACAATTATTTGTACAAGTGCCGGCGTCGCGTGCATTGGACTTGCTTAAAATGCTTTGACCTCCCCCGCCCCACAGTTGGTTACGCGCCAGGAGCGGGCCCGGCGCAGTCTGTTAAGGTGGACGCACCACGTTTGAACGGCGCATGCGGCGTCGATCGAAATCCTCCCTCCCGACGCGCCATACGGATGGAAAACGGATGGAGCAACTACGAGTATCCGTTTCCCTGGTCTGGCGCAGCAAAACTGAGCCTACCTAGGGATTAGGGGTCTTTTTCTTTACCGGCTCGGTGCTCACGCCGGCGGAGTGGTCGGCGTTGCGTTGGCACTCTGGCATTTTGCTGAATCTCGCGCGGATCAACGCTAGCTTTTTAGTTTAGGTGAAGAACAGTCAGGCTCGGACTGGACACCAGCGCGGTCGTATGGACGCGAGACAGATGATGACGACATGTCACGGCGAACACGTCGCGGCGCTCGCTTGCTTGCCGTCGCTGGCTGGTGGCTGGGCTTTGTCTGCCACCCACGCACCCCTTTGGAGACAGAGCAGCCGTTCTTTTCGGTTCTTGTTTTTAAAACCCCGCTAGTCCGTGTGGCGGTGCTCTTCCCAGCTCCGCTGAGCGTGCGTTATTTTTGCTTGGCTTCTTGGCCGCGCCCATCGCACGCTTGGGTGCTGCCTCTGTGGGCGCCACGGCTGTGATCCGAGCTCTAAACACTCACACGCCGACGCTAGTGCCGCGATGAGCGACGACGAAGACTACGGCTTCGAGTACAGCGAGGATGATGAGGAGGAGGACGTCAACATCGAGAACCAGTACTACAACAGCAAGGGGCTGCGCGACACTGACGAGGATGCGGCCGTCGCCGGCTTCAAGGAAGTGGCGACAATGGAGTCGGACAAGGGCGCGCGTTCTCACGACCGCGCCGCCGCCGCCGGGCCGCGACCGCGACTGGTCGGTGAAAGGCGTCCGCGTTTGCTGCAGGCGAGTGGGGCTTCAAGGCGTACAAGATGATCGTCAAGCTGCAGTTCAAGCGCGGCAAGTGGGCCGAGATGATGGAGGCGTACCGCGAGCTGCTGACCTACATCAAGTCGGCCGTCACGCGCAACTACTCTGAGAAGGTCATCAACAAGATCCTCGACCTCGTCTCTGGCTCCGAGCAGATGGCGCTGCTGCAGGAGCTGTACGAGACGACGCTGACGGCGCTGCAGGAGGCCAAGAACGAGCGGCTCTGGTTCAAGACGAAGCTCAAGCTTGGCAAGCTGTGGTTCGATCGCGCAGAGTATGGCCGCCTCCAGAAGATCATCAAGGCTCGCCCCTCCCCTTGCGCCCTCCTCTTCCGCCCCGGCCGTCGCCCCAGCCTCCGCCGCCTCCGCCGCCGCCTCCATCTCCTCCGCCGCAGCACGTCTGCACGCCGCCTGCCGCCCTCCCTTCCTTGCCTCCCACCCGCTGCCCTCTCCTCCCCTCCCCTCCCCTCTCCGCCCCTCTCCGCCCCTCCCAGCCCCTCCCAGCCCCTCCCAGCCCCTCCCAGCCCCTCCCAGCCCCTCCCAGCCCCTCCCAGCCCCTCCCAGCCCCTCCCAGCCCCTCCCAGCCCCTCCCAGCCCCTCCCTCCGGCCGCTGCTCCAGGAGCTCAACAGCTCGTGCCAGCACGAGGACGGCACCGACGACATGAAGAAGGGTGTGCCGCCGCCGGGGAGCGGCGTGCGCCCCTGGAGCGGCTCGCATTCGACGCCCCTCTCCGCCCCTCTACCGCAGGCACGCAGCTGCTCGAGGTGTACGCGCTCGAGATCCAGATGTGCGGACCCTGCCGAGACCCTTCCCCAGACCCTGCCTAGACCCTCCCTAGCAGCTGCCTAGCAGCTTCCTGCCGCCTCCCTACAAGCACCCTGCAGCCTCCCTCGAGCCCTCCGAGGTGTGCGCGCTCGAGATCCAGATGTGCGGCGCCGCCCCCCCGGGGGCTGGTGGCCACCTACGGGTGGCCGCCTAGCGTGAATGGCTAGTCGCGTGACATGGCTGGTGGCTGTGGTCCAGGTACACCGCCACCAAGAACAACAAGAAGCTCAAGAGCTTATACCAGAAGGCGCTGCAGATCAAGTCGGCTATCCCCCACCCCAAGATCATGGGCGTGATCCGAGAGTGCGGCGGCAAGATGCACATGGCGCTCCGCGAGTGGGAGCCGGCGCGCAACGACTTTTTCGACGCCTTCAAGAACTACGGCGAGGCGAGGGTCGAATTGCTACTAGTTCATGTTGACGGCAGTGAATTACTCATAGGAACTACGACGAGGCCGGGGTGGGGCGGCGGATCCAGTGCCTCAAGTACCTCATCCTCTCCAACATGCTCATGAACTCGGACATCTCGCCCTTCGACTCGCAGGAGGCCAAGCCGTACAAGAACGACCCCGAGATCCTCGCGATGACCAACCTGCTCTCCGCGTACATGAACAACGAGATCCGTGCGCCCGCGGCCCCAAACACGACCGCCCCTCCCCTCCCCCGCCTCAAGCCCAAACAGCCGGCAGGCTGCCCCCCTCCCTCCC